CACTTTTAGTTGCAAAGTTTGATTTTTATTTACTTCTCTATAAACTATATGCTATTCTCAATTCTATTAAATAAAATAAAAAATTGTAGTTTTTATTTGACTTATTATTAGTACTTACTATTTCAATTATTCTCAAGGAAATATAAAGTGATATCTTAGTATATGAAAAATAAAAATGACAAAATTCCCAATATGATATATCTTCGAAAATTGAGAAGATAATGATAGTAATTGTTCATCTATTTTTTTTTTCATTTACCATGAAATTTTAAAATAATAAGAAAGTTATTTAATATTGAATTGATCAGATAAAAATTGTATTTGTCATTGTAATGTAATATTATCTGGGAATTATATGTGTAAAATCTAATAAATATATTTTAAATTCCTTAACCAAATAGAGATGTGCTCATTTTTTAATTGATTTAAACATTATATGATTGTTGTTTGGTTATTAATTGAGTGTCTTTATGTTTAGATTTGCTTGTGTGTATAACTCGTAAATAAGAGAATTGTCTCACTAAATATTTGTGATAATACTACGAAAAAATAATATTATAAATTAAGAGATCATATTTAGTTAGAATATATTATTACGAATTTTTACGGTTTGTGAATGGTTGCAATATGTCAAAAAATTTATTTATAACAAAAACGTCACATGAGTCGCGACAAATATATCTAATATCCATTTTGTCACAATCCATGACTAATATAATATTTTAATTATGCAACTCAATATTAAAGAACTATAGTATTAAATAGTATTAAATAGTCACAAATGTAACTAAATATTTGTCACATAATTGTAGTAAATACTAAAAAGACTTGGTATTTTGTGACTATCATAATGGCCCAATTCCATCACCCAAAGTTAGATTTCAAATGGCACAAGTTATTACTGAAAAATCATTGCATATGGTCATAATTATCACTTTAAACATAAACTCAAAAAAATATTCTTTGTTAAATTATAATCAAAATCATAAATTTTTTTATAATCATCATAAACACTTGATCTGCATTATAATTTATCTCTATTCTTTGGAGAACACTATATCATGAATTTGACCAAATATCTTAAGCTGTTAGTTCTCTAGAAATGAACTTAAGCTCTCTAGAAAGCAAAGACTCAAATATTTGGTGGAACAACTAATGGTTTCTTCTGTAGCAATGGAAAACGGTTTCACAAGACTACTGATGTTAGTTCATGGATCTGCATGCAGACTAGGTCCGAGGAAACATGCATAACTTTAAGTTAAAAAAAAGGGATTGCAAAACCCTTTTGGGACAAAACTCAAATCTATGACATAACAAATTATACTAATATGTTACTAATGTTTACTCATTTTAATGTCGCAAATTATGACTTGCATATCCATTATAAGTTCATAACTAATTTGCAACAATATATTGGTCACAACATACGTCACAATATTTAACGTTGGATATTATCGTCGCATAATTTTCACTAATTGTGAAAAAAATTTGGTCATGATTTTTTCCATCAGAATATAGTTAGTAATTATCTTCATAATATCGTAAAAATGTTACAGTTGTGATGAAATTTTTTTGTCACAAGAGTATACCTTAATAAATTTATTTATTTATAGTGTAATTACTCACACATTTTTTCAATATTATGCTAGTAAAAATAAGGTGTGACATGAAATCAAGGCGAGGAACATGGAATATTCAAGTATGTCGTTGTTGTGTTATGTTTATTTATAATTCTTCTAGAAGGTTATAAAGCATGTTAGGTTGCTGAAATTATGTATGTTTGATGGTTATGTTGATTTGTTGTTTAGTTTGTTGGTTAATTTGAGTTAAGCATTATCTACCTTTTTGTAAATGGTAGCTTATCTACGTACAAATTGTTAAAAACTGTTTTTATTTATTTATTTACTTTTATAAATTGTTTCTTTATGCATTTGACATCATGTATTTAATTATTTGTTTACTGCTTAATGACATATTCTTCTATATGTATTTGTAGTCAACTTTCACTTTTAGTTAATTTTCAGAGATCTTTTTTTATACGTCTTATTATTATCTTTAGTCATTTACATAATCTAAATTTTTTCTACTTTTTATAGCTAGTGCATGCATCTAATTTTCTTATATATAATGTATTCTTGTGTACATGTAAAACCATTACACCATCACATTTACTTTTGAAGTTTTCATTTTGATGATGTCATCAAAATGTCTAAAGCCCCCATTATTGCTATCTTCATGGCCATCCTTGTTCTAGGTTTAATTCACAATATATTAAAATAAGAATCCATAATATGTATTTTATTTTTTTACATGTCTTCTCTTTGATTTTGATACTTTGTATTAGGGATGGTGACAAAGGAGACGCAAGGACAAGAACTGTGTCATGAATATATTCAATTGCAAGCATTGTGTGAAGCCAAACTCTGTGTTGATGCATGCCATCGAGCAAGCAATGCCTCTGCACTTTTAGTTGCCATAATTGATTTTTATTTTCTTCTCTATAAACAATATGCAATTCTCAATTCTAATAAAAATAATATTTTTACAGTTTTCTTATGTGCTATAAGATTTCAATTATTTGGAATCAAAAACTAGCATTCAAGATTGTCGAGGTCCGGAAAAATTCATAGCACAAATCCAACTAAGAAAATATATATATACTAGTTTACGTTATTTATTGGTTGTTTAGATTTCAATATCAATTTTTATTTATTTTATTTACCAATTCATAGCACAAATCCAACTAAGAAAATAATGAGTGGTATTACAGGGCCAGCCCTAGAACCTTGAAGTCCTAAAGCAATTTTAGAAAGTAGAAAAAAATGGAAAGTAACAATAATACCCACTTGTAGGATCGAACCCACTTAAAGGCCTAAAATGTGCATTTTAAAATACAAATACAGTAATGGAATTCTTATGAATTTTGCCAATTTTCACTAAATTTTTATGAATGTGCCATTTTCATTTAAAATTTTTGGATTTGCTATTTTTAAGTTCTTAAAATTTTGGTTTTCATAATTGTTTTGTTAAAATATATATGTTATAACATATACTAAACCCTAAATAAATATGGAACCCAGAAAACCCAAACATAATGTATAAAATTGTGTTTTAAAATCTTATAAAATAGAAAATCTAAAATATTTAAGCTAATATTTAAGCTAAAATGGCAAAACCTATAAATGCAATTGAAAAAATCCCTGTCTAGTAATTAAGTCTACAATAATATGGGCATTCTTTTTAATGGCTCATTTTTTATTTGTAAGCAAAGACAAACAAAAAAAACTAATGAGCAACCACGTGGTGGTGGGCAAGTGGTTCCCCTCTGGTGGAAAAATTGCCCTCTTGGTCTAGACAAGGGATTGATTCTCCCCAATTACGAATTTTTTCTCATTTATCATGTGGTCACATGGATATGCGTCTTTGCTTTCGGTCCATTTGAATATCCGGAAAAAGGGTCTATCTATTGGCTGCACCTCCCCCAGAGATTAGTCTCCGCTCCTTTCATAGGTATGGGGATTTGCTCGGAATTAAAAAAAAAAGGAATGTTTGAAACATTTTATTATTTCACGAGAATGTTATTATATAACTTTTAACTCATCAAAAACATTTAATAGTTTGCCTAGAACTAAACTTATTAATATATGATCGTGGTGGGTCGAGTGGTAACTTGCGTCTCGGCCACAAAGCTATAAATAGTCTATCTTTGTCATTTGCAAAGACGATCTCGCTTTTAATTTGTTCTAGGTTTTATGTTTGTAGCCTCCAAATAAATTGATAAAAAAGCCGAGCATCGAACATTCATGATCGATCCATGGTTTGAATGCATCATATCACGAACCACATTATGAGAAACAACAACATCAAATATATTAATCCATAGTGCAAACAATTCCTTCATTCATTTAACTGGTTACTTGTATGTATATAGTGATGAAATAATATATAAACCCGCTCAACAGGTTCAGAGCTTTATGCTCATCATCTTCACGTAAAGAATCAATGTACATCTTTTTGAAGTATGTGGAATCGAACCAAAGCAAATGTTGATGTATGATTTAACTTGAAAAATAAAGCTGATATGGATCAGAAGCTTGAAGTTATTATCTCTTTGTGTTACATGGATTTATTTGGTCTAAGTCAGAAATTAGGCCGAATACTGGTCTGAAGTTCGTACAGGAGCCGATTCTATTTTAGGTCTAAATACAGAGGGCCAAACAGACGCAGAAGTTGAGCTGACCCAAACCCTAGTTCATGCGGGTTCCGAGAGGTGAACGAGTGCTAGAGAGAGATGTAGTTTCTTGGTGTATCTAGGTTTGATGTCTTGTTAGTATTCTTCTTTCATGTTTCTTTTGAAGACTTGATCTAGGATGTTAAATGAGTGTGAGAGATATGTTGTAATCAAAACACATATGTAACTCTTGATCTATAGTGGATGTTGAAAACTCTGTTTCCTCCCAAGACGTACCTGATGTAGCAGTGAACTGGGTTACCAAATCTTTTTGTTCTTTCTGTGTTTTCATGCTCTCCTTCTTTTATATCTTTGAATCAATGTTTAACTGAATCCAAGATTGATCATCAATTTGCTCCAGCAAAGCTTTGGTTTATACTTCTTTGTCGACCAAATGGTCCAAGGGAGACACTTCCACTTGTCATCATCATTGTTCAATGAGACTTCTTCAATCACGTGAGAGTTTATTTCTCCAAGTATTACTTGCACTTGAAGGTATAAGGAAATATTATATGCATGAAGCTTTTGGCTCTATGTATATCTTTTTTTACAAACATTGTCGGCATAACAAATCACAAAGTACGAATTTAGTATTTGCTTACGTGTCAAAAGGACAGTTAAAGGGATTACTAACTGGATTAGGACTAATAAATAACATAATTATCGCACATGAGATTTCCTAACGATATTATGAATGTTAATTCCCTATATATAGGGAGAGAGGACACAACCGTGAACTAGCATTATGTCCGCAACATCCACCACGACCATGAATGGAGAAGTCCTACCGGTAATAAGCTTTATGATGCTTCCCGATGATTTGATACTAAGTTGCTTAGCACGTATCTCAAGATTGCATTACCCATCTCTCTCTTTAGTCTCCAAGAGATTTCGCATTCTTATCGCTTCCAAGGAACTTTACCAAACCCGAATCCTCTTAGGTCGCATTGAGAGTAGTCTCTATGTGTGTTTTAGATCCTATAGACATTATACCAACCCATTACGTTGGTTCACTCTTTGCCAAAGACTACACAATGCCGAAAAAGTTTTGGTCCCGATTCCATCTCCTAATTCACCAGTGGATTTTAAGACAACTGTTGTAGCGGTTGGTCATTACATATATGCCATTGGCGGATTTGTTAATTATAATGCATTATCAACCGTCATGGTCATGGATTGTCGTTCTAACACATGGAGTGAGGCCCCAAGTATGCGGGTGGCTCGTGTGTTGCCGTCCGCTTGTGTTCTTGATGAGAAAATATATGTAATAGGAGGTTACAACAAGTTCGATTCGACGAATTGGATAGAGGTTTTTGATACAAGTACCAAAACTTGGGAGTTTTTGCATATCCCTAGCGATAAAATATGCTTAGGAGGCTCGAAATACACAATCGTTGCGTATGAAGGAACAATCTACGTGAGGTCTGATGATTTAGATGCGACTTACAAGCTGTGTAATAAAAAAAGTAGATGGAGAGAGGCAGATTTAGCGATAAATATGGGATTGAGATCAGCATCAACTTATTGTGTGATAGAGAACGTGTTCTACCGTTGTGGTGGTGGTTTTATGATCAATTGGTATGACTCTAAACCTAAGATATGGAGAAACTTGAAGGGTTTAGAAGGATTGCCTAGCTTATGTGGTAATGTTGAGGGTAAATTGGCGGATTACGGTGGTAAAATCGCGGTTTTATGGGAGGAGTATGTGCAAGTTGAAAATCACAGGGAGAAAATAATATGGTGCGCTGAAATTTCACTTGCAAAAGACCTAAATTTGGGGATAAGAGGGAAGGTTGAATGGTTTGGCAAAGTGTTTAGATCCAACGAGCCATATGGTGGGGTGCATGCTCTAGCGTCTACTATTTCAATATGATTTTTGGTCATGTGATATGCTTCCCCAAATCGGTACTAGTATTTTTGAAATACATTTTATAAACAAATTCTCATTTTTAAAATTATTACAATATATGTCATTGCTATATTTATATCCAAACAAATTTATAGTAGGGCGAATTAATTGTAAATCACCGAGATGTACATATTATTCTCAATATAAAATTATTAGCTCTTATCTATTAAGATAGAATGCGTTGAACAAAATTTGATTAGTACTTTTTTGTCTATGCAAAATTAAACATTATTGTTATTATGATGAAATTTATAGTTAAATTCTATCATAAAATAAAGTTTGTACGGTTAAAATCTGGTTTATAACAAAATTACATAGTTAACTCTAAAAATTATGTGGATTACTACTAAAAGTTAAAAACTATCAATTCAATAGTTCTTAGACCTAAATATTTACTTGGACCTTTATAGATATTTAAAATTGCAAAGGCACATGCTAGCGATACATATTAAATCTATCGTCAAGACTTCCGACACATTTAAAAATGTAACCTCCGACCGTCACTGTTTTTAATGGTCCCCACTTCCTCTCAACCGTTTATCTATAACCGATGGTCGGTTTCTTACGTCTGGAAGGCTTTCAAGACTTGTTTATTGTGTTTTGTTCTTACTCGCATGGTTCCGACAATCACTCCAGCTCAAGTACACACATAACTATGAAATTCTCTCGGGATGGTTCATTGAAAAGCGAAGTGTACTTAGGTTATTTACGTGGCCAAATCAATTCTCTTAAAACTTCTGAGCATGCACCACCATATTTTCCTCATCACACACACATTATGACACCCTGGTTTCAAAATAAATGATTGTGCATGCGAAAAAGTTTAAAGAAATTGATTTGGTAATGTATATCACAAAAATGCACTCACTGGCCGGGAGTCACATAGAACATTTTGAGTTAACAAATTGATCTATTTCATTCTATTCCAAAACCACTAAATAAATTGATCTTCCCAGCAAAAGAGGTGTATACCTTTGCAACATGGTGTCAGTTGATGTGCAAGTAATAAGTACTTCATATTTTGCTTTATAAATTATAATAACTTTTTATGTAAATTAAAACTCACATATTTCTATGAGAATGGAGCATATCAATCGATTTACGAAGTAGTTAATCCCAAGAGAATGAAGAATCGATGAAAACTTTGGTTTAATTTATGCTGCTGGAATACTCAAACCGACAAATCATCGTTACAAAATGGGATCTCTCAATCAAATTTTTATATTTTTGTATAATTCTTGCTAGAAGAATTCAGCAAAACTGGCTCATTAAAAATATTTAAGCTTAGCATATTGTTTGAAGTATGATATTAACTTTCATATGATGACAATGAACCACCTTTCACTATGATGGTAATTACCTCTGACCTTAATTTTGAGGAACTCATCACCACTTTACAAAATCAAAGTTATGTTGCAAAAGTATACACCTCTTTTGCTGGGAAGATCAATTTATTTAGTGGTTTTGGAATAGAATGATATAGATCAATTTGTTAACCCAAAATGTTCTATGTTTATCTACCGGATGTATTATTGTATAATTTTTAGTTTTTTTTTTGTCAATGTATAATTTGTAGTTATTATTATATTTTTGAATAATTATTATATATATTATTAAGGAATTAATGTAATTTCAAGACTAGAAATTCACTGCAACGAAAGAAAGATCATGTAATGATTTGTAGAGTCGGTAAACAAGTCTTTAAAGCCTCCCGGACGTAGCAAACCAACCGTCGGATATGCATATACAAAAAATCCTAATAATTATATTTATATTAAACTAGAAATAACCTATAATCATAAATGGTAAATCAAAGTATTAAAAAAAATATCTCAAAATTTTAACTTGCGGTGGTAAATTAAGTTACGTATATTTTTGTATGTTTGATTTTAAGTGCATCAACAATTTAAATTCATATATGAAACAATTAGAAGACATGTTCTTTTCTTTTTTTAACACTAGAAGAAATGTTTTTTATTTAATGTAAAATTGTGGGAAAAATAATGGGGTACAACTTATAAAAACCTTTAAAAACCTTATAAACCCTTTTAAAACCATTTAAAAACCTTATAAAACTTGTAAATACAATTTAAAACCATTTTAAAAAATATAAAATATTTGTATCGAGTCTCAAGTAGTAGTTATTATATAGAAGTACCTTATAAACCATATAAAACGTTATAATTTTTCATATTTAAACATAAATATATTTTGAAAATGGATAGATAAAGAAAATATTTTAAAAAAGGGTACACCAAAAAGAGTATTTCTAAAAAATTCTCAAAAAAGTTTTGGTATAAAATAAGAAAAATATAGAACATGAATAATGGCGAGCAAGTTGCCGGATATATAGAACTTAAGTCACAACTACAAATGATAACATGTTATTGTAGAATTGTTGTGTGGTTTTTTTTTGGCCTACATTTGTGTGCTTCAATCATAAGATTTGTGGAATTATTGTAGAATTTTTGTGGAATTAATATATTAAATCCTTATTGGATGTTGCCTAATTGGAAGCCTAATCAGGGGAGAATGTTTGCAAAACACTTTTAAAGCCAACAATCTGGCTGCAAGAGTTAGACCATCCGCGATGGAATTACAAGAACGAGTATTTTGGACAGAGTAAAAGCCATAAAAGGGGATCAGAGCATTCCAAATAAGTCTAAGAGATTGAAAAAAACTGACCATTCTTCTTGGGATTGCACCATCATAACTAGCTCTGCACTATTTATTTCAAACACTTGGCAATCAATTCTTCTTATCATGATATTCTCCATAGCCCACATTAAAGCCTCCAGTTCTGAGTGTAGAAGGGACGAACTTGCTCGTTGGCCTTCAGCTCGATCAAAATTTTCTGCTCCACTCCTTGGTAGCACCACCAGCCCAGACCTGAAGTCGATTCCAAAGTTTTTTAGGATCCATCGACTTTGCACTTTTTAATATTCGAACAATCAACTAAGGCCTCCATGGATTCAATCATTTCATCTTGATTAATTTGAGTTTCTTACCATAGTAATTGTTCACTTAAAGCCTGATTGATAATATCTATAAGTTCAGATTGTACTCGTTGCAAAACTTTTTTATTCCTATCTTTCCACAAAAATCATAGCGTCCATGGAAAAAAAACGTTACTTATCCTTGTCCTCCAAATGAGATTACACTCTCTAAAATAAGAAATCAAGGTTTGAGAACACTGAAGTGGAAGGGAAACAATCTTGAACAATGGGGAATAGAGTCAATTCCCAGACTTTTCGAGAGTGTGACCATTGAAATAGTGCATGATTGATAGTTTCCTCCTCTTCCTCACATTGCTTACATAAATTGACAAACTGAGTTTCACGACATGCTAAATAAACAGTTGCCATTTTGTTTGAATATTTTTTAAATATTTTCTTGGTCAGCGCCGGTCAACATCAGTCAACAGTGGAGTCGATGAACACTGTACCAGAATAAAATGACTGTGATGTTGACCACATGTCGACATATAGTTGATATATATAGGCATGCAATACATATAGTTTGTATAGTTAGGCTATACATTTTCTATAGTTTAGATTTGTGGTCATATATTCTCTTATACTTGGTGTAAATGGCTTTTTTTTCCTAATAACTACTACTGGGGATACATGATCCAAATATTTATAAGTTTCTAAAAGTTTTACAAGGTTTAATTAAAAATAGAGGTTTTTATATGGATTACGCACATATAAATGTAATTTTTGTATGTTTTTATAAAATCCATACATATTTGGATAAATGATAAAATTTCAGCAGTTTTTTATAAATTTTGAAAGATGGAGTGCTTTAAAAATTTTGTATTAAATACATGCAATACTATGCAACTTTAGTTCTATTTCAAGTACATATTCAAAATTTAGTTTATGATTTAAAACATGTAAACATGTTAATCTTTATAAAGTATATATTTATTTGAATTATTAAAAATTTAAAACAAATATATATACAGGATAAAAATTGTTAATATACTAATATACTGTAAAAATTATTTTGGTTGACCGATACTATTCATGGAATCTCATATCAATTATTATTTAAAAAGACCTATTACCTTCCATCGTCCCTTAAAATAAATAGTATTTAAAAATTTTATCTATCAATCACACTACACAAAATATTTGGGAAAATTCCATAAAAATTTCCCATCTAATTTTAATTTGGAAGTTTAATACCCAATGTTATTTGATTGGAAATAAAATGCATGGTTTATTAGTTTGTTGTATATTAATACATCAAGTATATAAAAATTGTCGAATCGAAGAAACCGCTTAACAAACGATAATCGGATTGACAAAATCACTAAACCGAGGTTAATGGAATTACACTAAACTTAGGGTTTATTGATCCCAATTCGATTTGGGGTAATAGTAAAGGACAATGCAGTCTTTGGATAACCCCAAATTACTCGTGTGTTTAGGGATTAGTGATTTCGTCAACCTCGGTTTAGTGATTCCGTCAATCCGATTAAGCGGGTTATTCGATTCAAAATTTTTATATACTTAATGTATTAATAGACCAAAATTTAATAAATCATGCATTTTATTTCCAATCAAATAACATTGGGTATTAAACTTCCAAATTAAAATTAGATGGGGAATTTTTAAGGAATTTTCCCCAAAATATTCTTCACAAAATCAGCAATTTTAGAATCATTCCTCCATCTACCATAGAAAAATATTGTTCATGAAAATAATGTAAAGTTCTTTAGTCCCTTATATACTGTTTTCGCATAAAATGTTTAGTCTCACTTGTTCTTGGAAATATTTTTATCTATGGTATATGGAGGAATGAATCTCATGGATAGTGATCAATATAGTAATTATTATCCATTTTAATTATTATTGATATTATTATTTTTTAACAAATTTCATAACGATATTTAAATTAATTATTTTATTTAAATTGTATTTTTTTTAACATCTAAATGAAAATCATAATATGAAGTGAATTTTCTTTGTTAATCTTTTTGAATACCCTTTTTAACTCGAGTTTTGGAGCCAAATTCCTTTTATTTGAAACTATTAAAAAATTATTAATTTTTTACATATCAAAATAATAATAAAAAATTTATACACTTTGATTATAAAATCCTGAACGAGAATAGTATAACAAACCAAAAGCTAAAAAAAATAGTGCACATAAATACTCCAAGAAACAGAGTGAGGTGAATTGCTATCTAAACATGGGCAGTAACTCCATCATAATAAATACGCCCTTGCAACCATATCGGCCCTCCACGAGCAAGGTGAACTGTTATCTCCTGTAGTATTAGAGGTTAGATATCTGAAGTTTTGAAACACAATATTAAAATTTTGATGTTTAAATAATATTTTTAACATAGTTATGAGTTGGTTTGAAAAAACTTTAAAAATTCATTTCAAATTAATTTCATTTATTAAAACTATTCATTATTATCCAAAATATCAACATGAATTTGACTCTCTAGTAATAATATTACTTATCTGAACTCTTTATATACAATATCTGTATTATTTTGATTTTTATTTATTTATTTAGAATCTAATTTGTAATTTAAAAAATATACATATTTTCATTTGAGTAGTGTACACAATATTTTCAAATTTATTTTTATCCAAAATAAATAGTAGCGGTGAAATTGCTGAATTTAAACCTAAGTGAATTCATCTACAAAATGGATTTAAAAAAAAAAACAAAAAAAAAACAAAAAAGCTCCGATATTAAATGACAGTAAAACTTGATCTTTTTGCTGGCGGCTAAGATCAAAACAGAAGCGTAATACTGTAAATAAACACAAATCAAGGGGTACTTTAAACTTAATCAAGATAAAGCTAAGGACAAAACAGTAAATAAATAAAAAAAGAACGCGAGAGATGCGGTCACGTGAGACGCATTTATAACCCTACGATGAAAAGCCACGTGGCACTCCGATCTAAATATCTCTCGACCATATCGGGGTCCCACACTCGACCTTATCCACCTTACGTAGAACTCAGATCCAAACGCCACGTCAGACACAGATCAACGGCTCAGATCTTCACAATCGCCTTTAAAATCATCGCTTCCTTTGATGAATCAATGAAACCTCTCTCTACTACAAACAACAAACAACAGTTTTTAAGAAAATTAGAAAAAGACCCCAAAAACTTTAGTTTCTTATCAATTTCAACCTTTCTCCTTATGGGCTTACTTGATCATCTCTGGGATGATACCGTCGCTGGTCCACGGCCAGAGAACGGCCTTGGCAAGCTTCGTAAACACCATACCTTCAGTTTCCGACCTAGCTCCGGTAATGGTACGCCGCCGTGTTTTGTAATAAAAAAAAATTGAACCGGTTTAATCAACGAATCTAAAATTTAGTTAAACCATGCACTGAAGTGTCTGAATCTGATGATCGATCTGATTAGATCTTTAATTTGATTTTAATTTTATTGATTTTGATTAGATCAATCTGAAGCTGGAAGTGCGAGATCGTACGGTGAGGATTCGCCGGAAGAAACTGTGAAAGTTACACGTAGCATCATGATAATTAAACCACCCGGTTATCAAAGCGGTTCAGCTCCTGCTTCTCCTGCCGGTTCAACTCCGCCGCTTTCTCCTTTCTCTCCGCCGCTCTCTCCGTTCTCCGGTGAGTTTTTTTTTTGTCATTTCGTTGATTTCGTTAGGTGAAACAGTACACTCACTTTAATTCATTAAAGGGTAATTTTGTCATTTCATATTAGGTACATAAGTGTATACTGTATAGTGCTTGTCTCACTAGTGTCGTCCATTATGATTTGATTATACAATATGGTTATTATGTGATATGATTGGTTCAATTAGGTGTATTGTCTAGTCAAAATGTTGTTATACGTTACCTAACATAATAAGATTTTGATTAGTATGTGTGTGGATGTGAAGTGTGATAAGATTTTTAATATATAGTTGTTGTTGTTTTTTTTTTTTTTTTTGTCTAGTCATCAATTTTTAATATATGGTTGAAAGAGTCAAGTTTGTATGGTTTGATAGTGAATGTAATGAGGTTTACTAACGAGAAGTGATGATTTTTGGTGATGTGAACGGAGCAAACGCAGCAGGAAAGGAACCCTTTCGGTTTAGGAGGCGGTCGACGTCGGATGCGTTCGATAAGGCGGCAGTCGGAGGAGGAGGCGGATCAGAGACTGGACCAAGGAGCTCTCCTCCTCCTTACGGCATGTGATCTTTAAAGTCTCTAACACAAAATCTTGAAAAAGAGATAAAAAAAAAAAAAAAACAGAGTACCCTTATGACAACAACATCAAGTGGTTGTTTAGTTTGCAAAGTCTTGTTGTGTTTTTCTTGCTTGTGTAGGTTCGTTTTGTTTTGTGTGTGTTAATGTTTTGCTTTTGTAATGCTTTTTTTTTTACGAGTTTGTACATTTTTGCTGCAATGATAATAACAAGAGACATGTAGATGCTTAACTTTACTTCTTCTTTTATCTTTATTAGTTTATAGCTTATCCTTCTCATTCAAGTAGATAAGTAGATCACTCACAAAGTCTCTTCATAGGCCATGCGAAAACGACTCTTTAAACTTTCCCTAAACTATAAAATGTTTATCTCCCAATCTAAAACTAAAGAGATATGGACTAATGGGATAGGAAACTTGTGAATCATATCACTTGTTAATGTTGTAGTTATCTTTTGAAGCAAGTATACTATATAACATTAACCCTTATTATTGGCAAAAGAGAATAAAAGCAAGATTCCAAAAAAACAAGTCACTTAAAGTGAGCTCATTGTATCTAGAATTTGCATCAAGTTGCGGAATCGTTGTCGGTGTTGTCTTTCAGTAATGATGTTTCTGACCTCTTTGTTTATAAACTTATTCGAAGGGACTAAAATTTTAGCTTCAGCAACTCTTAGCTTAAAATTTGCTAAGAGACGGTTCTTAGATAAGCGTTATCTCTTAGCAAATTTTATGCTAAGAGTAGCCTAAAATACTTATTATGGACCACATTGTTTCGCAGCTTCCAAATATAATAGATCACTGCTGTTTTCCTATGTAAAGAAGGTGAGAAAAAGATCTGAATTTATAATCGGACTCTCGTAAACTCGATTCAAGATTTTGTTAAGAGCCCTCCATAAAACATGGTCGATGGACTCTAGACTTTAGAGTTTTTGGTTGATCTTGTGACTCGATCTACAACTTCTTATAAAAACTCGACGCTCGATTCAAGATTTTGTTAAGAGCCCTCCATAAAACATGGTCGTCACTTTGTAACTCTTGATGGACTCTAAGACTTTACAGTTTTTGGCTGACCTTGCGTCTACAACTTCTTATAAAAACTCGACCCCACATCTCTCTTCTGCCTCCTTTGTTGTATCAATTTTTTAAATTCTGTTAAATACACTAAATTGTTTATAGGATCAACAAATAGATACGTTGATAGCTAATTTACAAAATATTGAGCAAAACAGTATAATTGATAAAAGACATCCCAAGTATTGTATAAACTTTGGTTACATCAAATCCATCTAACTAAATAATGCAATTTCTTTGTAGTTTCACCCAAATATTACGTGTTTGTATAAACTATCACCACCATCAACGTTAGAATAGCTCATAACAGGATACGGATATCTTGCAACTTGTGCTTTCTCCTCCATAGCCATAACCTTACCGGAGTTTCGATACCATGGTTCTACGTATGGACTAGCAGAAGAAGATACATTTGACGATGAAGCATCGACGATAACTGATCCCCAATCCCGTTCACCGGTAGCTTCGGTTATCCTTTTCCGCACCAACAATTTACCAACATCTTCCCTTCTTCTCTGTGTTACGCTCCTTAGAATCGATACAGACAATAGCAAGACGAAAACCGCATCTTCCTCGGGTAGAAATTCCACGGCTTGATGCTTCCAGTCGATTAGAGCAGTTGCTTTTTCTGTTGGATCTTCTTCTGTTGATCTAACCAATGTTACAAAACCTTCCTCGTCTTCTTCACCTTCTCCTTTATATTGCATTCTCCGTCCAGTTAATAGCCGAACCTATATCACCACCAAAAATGTTAAAAAGAACGCGAAGTGAAAACGTGAATCTTGAAATCGTACCTTCGAACCGGGGTTTCTTGAATATAGACCAAGTTCTGAGATAGCTCCTGATGAGTCTATGCGGATGCGCAATTCGTCTCCAGTCGAAAATTCCCAAGCAGCTTCCCAATCCTCAACTGATTCTTTAGGCGTCACGGTTCCAACTACCTTTGCTGTACTCGACGAGAAAACATAATGATCGGTAGACTCTTTAAAGGCTGCTATTGTTTCAAATGCTATTTTTTGACTTTTTTACAACAGAAAAACATATTTTCAGTAAACTGTAAACACTAAACAGAGTTTCTTCTTGTCGCCTAAGCCAATGTACCTGGAGCTTTACCGATTGAACCCTCGATATAAGACCAAGAACCTACTCGAATCTCTGTTATCCGCTCCTCTGATTTAACCGGGGATGGAACTTCACCTCCGCGTTTAAACACTCCCTTTCCTACTCTGAATAGAATAAAAACAAACAGTCAGTTCAGAACCAAGAACGGGTTTTACTAAGAAGACAGATAGATCGTGCAGCTTACCGGATGCGGATAACGAAACATTCCCGACCAGCATGATCAAGCACGGTCCGTGTAAGCCATCTTCCTTCTTGAGGCCGGAAATTGTTAGTTCTTTGAACTGAATCAGATATCATAGCACCTGAATCATCGGTAACTCGATCCGGTACAAATCTCAGCAAGTAAGGAGCTTGAACCGGGGGAGTAACCGAAGCAAACACACTTACTTGCTTCCCGAGAAACCTACCAGATGCTAGTGAATGTGCTCTTAACAGATCATTCCACGGAAACTCAATCATCCCTTCCGGTTTTCCACTTCTGAAGCAAATCCCACGAGGACGGTCACAATGTGATTCCAAAACAACCCCTAATGTCCCGAACTCGCAGTAAAGATGCCACCCCTTCTGCCATGACGAATCGCGAGAAAAATCGCTCATTTTCTTATCTAGTTGCAGCTTCCTATGACATCTAGCAACTCTCAAACGAAGAAAACTTCGATCAATAGACTCATTCCTCTCTGCTTTTGGATTCAGCCTTATAAATATACATAACTGCGAAAAATAACCATTTCAGATACAAAAACCACTTTACTTTACTTCAGAGTCAAGTCATTACATCAAGTCAAGAACTTACTTCCAAAACAAATCTAGGTCGAATAGACTTATACGCGGTGTTAATGTCCATATCCGAGACAGGCCAATAAAACACTGTATTGCTACTAAGACGGGACTCATTCGCTATTACCGTCAATTCACCTCCAGCCTTCTCATATGGTTGATTAAAGTACCTATCCCATAGTCTTTTCGTTGTTTCCACTTCACTTTTCTCTACAGCTTCCCCAACTCGTACCACTTTTCGCGTCATATCCTCCAACATTTCATCAACATCTTCTTTATACACCGTCGGGTAACTCTTGTGTGTCAACCACATAAGAAGTATATCAGAAGCTGGAATAAGCCGAGAAATCTCGTCTTTAAACTTGTGTAGGATCAACAAAAACCCCTTGTAACGTAACCGAGCAGCGATCAAGTATACGGTTTCAGACATATAAGGAGATGAAAACTTCTCCCAAAGAAACCTCTGCTTCTCTACTAGACTTTTCACATCTTCATTCACTGAAGAAACAGTCTCAACTGAATCAAGATCAGCTCTGTTCTCAAAACTCTCCAATGGGTACCGTAAAACCCAAACCTTTTCGCATTGTAAAACCGCGTAATTCTCGTTCTCTTCGTCGTAAATCGCAGGCTTCCCTATAAGTTTCGAGAATCTCTTTTGACAATAATCCCTATAACTCACCTAACAAAGACAAAACCAAAACTATAACACCCCAAGAAATCACAATCTTTGTTTAAGTATGACAATGAAACAGAGCTTACTGGATTCAAAGTATGACAAAACCAAACCCATTCAATATCTATAGGAGGCAAAATCATAGGAGGCTTCAAACCAACCGTTAGATCAGAAACCAACGGCATCCAAAGCTCATCATACCTTAAAGAACACAACACACAACAACAAAAACAACAACACTAGCATTTAATTACATGATCAGAAAGAATAAAAATCAAACCTTTCAAGAATTTAATTCAACAGTCTTCAATAAAAATCCAAACTTTGGGGACCAGAAGATACTAAAACAGTAGAAAGATACTAAATGAATCTAAACCGTCCGATCAAAAAACTCAGGAGGAAAGAGTAAAGGTAAAGTTTTTATTTTTTTGTTCACCTTCTAATAGCTTCAGAGATAACAGGTGGATGATGAAGCCATTGACAATCTCCGACAGACCTTAAAAGTGCGATGAGACGTCTCGCCGCAGATACAATATCAGCTCCGATTCTTACGGCGTCAACTTCTGAGATCTCGCTGAGACTCCGGGCTGCTACGCCGTCGGCGAACTCTGACCGTCCTAGAGACATTGAGAGAGAGTAAAGATAGTATCTAAAGACAAAACATTGACTTGAGATTAGATGTGTTTTGTCCGAATGAAGAAACAGAGATTTGGCGTATTGAGACCGTGAAAGAATAATAAAGTAGAGTTCATCTGAAGTGAACAAACAGTTTTGTCTTTTTTTATTTAGTAAATTTAGTTTTTTTTTTTTGTAGTATTAATTTGTTGTCAATTATTATATTTTTTTAAAAAAGTATTAAAGTAGATAATTATTTTTGTAAGAAAGCGAATCATGTCTAGGCAACAAACAACCAAAATGATGATGACAAAGATAAACCATACATGAAATATTTTAGTTGGATATTAAATAATAATAGTTGGTAAGTTAAGATCTCTAGGTAGTGTTTTATACTTTGATATGATTGGATTATATATTTTCTTTCTTTTTCTAGGAGAGTTGTGGAACTGATTTTTAGGTGTAGCATTATTTTTAAAGTGATATTTTTTTAGTGGAAAAAACTTTTTATTATTTTTTTGTTTTTTAAATTTATTATTATTATCTCCAGACCTATTTTATTTTGACGAATTAGAGAGCATTTAAACGATTGAACCATTGGAGTTGATAGTTCTTTTTAGATGATAGCTAGCTCATGTATCATCCTCGCACAATTTGGATTAATCGACTTGGATTGATACTGTTTTCGATGATTTCAATTTAATGTTAAATCAAAAATCTATTAGGACACTAGTTATAAAAATTTATGTGCAAGTTATAATTTTTATAAATGGAGCTCTAATCCTATAGATAGAGAGAAAACTCGTGAAAGATATTATATGTTCCTTTCGTCGTTACCATCATCGTCATCAAGTCGACTTCAAACCAGGTGCTAACCTGACCATACCACAAAGCGGTGAACGGTATGGAACCAATTGTAGGAGACATCTTTGGAATTTATAAGCAATTTAACTATTTAAAAGAGATTAGTAAAGAGAAATTAGGCTTGGATCAAACTGGTTTAGGAAATGGTTATTTAGCCTTACTTGCGGGATATTACGTAACAAAATTTGGATCTTTCTGTAATGTCCCGACCGTCATCTATCCAATTAGCCCTATGTTTAACCACCAGTCCATAGGTTCACCTCTTTTAATGGGTCTCACGTTCTCTCACTACGCTCATGAACCCATTAATATTCGACTGTCGGTTTGCTACGTCTGGGAGGCTTAAATATTTGTTTACCGACCCTACAAATCACCACATTATCTTTCCCCGAGTTTTGGCCTCACTCACATAGTTTCGACAACCACTTCCCGGAAGGTCACCCATCCGTTGACTACTCCAGCAAAAACACGCTTAACTGTGGAGTTATCTCATGACCTTTTTTACCGAAAAGAAAAGTGCACTTTGGTATCATATGTGGCCAAATCAATTAATTTAAACCTATTCACAAACCGGGATCTCACACTTTCTATATGTGATTCTCTCCAGCCTATGCGTGGCGACCATGGGAGCTTCTTAATCACTTATAAGAGATTCTCAAATACATTATCAAATACATTATCACAGTTAATTATCCAAAACTGTTTCTACCATACGCAACATTATTTGTTCAATGTGTACTTAACGACGTCGTTTATATTGTCTTAGGCCATTCAGCTTTATGGGCCTCTGTATTTTTTGTTTTGTCATCCTTAGAGCATGCTCATTGGGCGTATCTCATAGTGGCTCAGAATAATATTTTAGAAAAAAATATTGTAAAAGTGTGTCAAAGTATCAGATGAGGTTCTCTGCCTTCCTCATTTGAGAGACGGTTCAGAAACAAAATCACCACTTGTCTTTCTCTGATTGGTGATATATAAATTTTATAACTGAAAAATTAAATACATAATTTATTTATGAGTGAATGACAGAATAACATACTTTGCTGAAGATTGTTTGCCAAAAAACACACTTAGAAGGTTTGGTGTACTTTCCCACTTACTTTTGGGGTAGGTGTCATTTAGGTTGACAAAAATGCCCTTTGCTTGTGTTTGAAAGAAGGATTTGGTTCAACAAATTATAACCGTTGGATGTCAAGTAATTGTATTGAAAAGTGTGGTTGAAATTGAAAATAATATTTTATTAATTTTGGTGTTTTTAGGTTTTTGGTGTTTCGGTTTGGGCTGAAATATTATATTTAGTTGTGTGCTATAAATAGTTTGGAAAAATTGTGTGGCTGAGATGTTTTGGGGGAAAAGAATCCAATGGATAAAATAAATTTGCATAAATTATTAATTTTTATGTAATCGATTTCTCTTCTTCTGTCGTTTCTTTTTTCTTGTTTTACTCTTTTTTTTTTGTTCTCATCTTTGAGTGTCATTTTATGTATTTGTTAACAAAAATTAACTCTTTATTTTTATATAATAAGTTATGATTATATTTTCTTTACATTTTAAGACGCATATTGCTATAGTTTAGATAAATTTTTATATTATACACTATCCATATTTAGTTAAACATTTGTTCATTGATACATGGATGGTCAATTGGACTATAATTTATAGATATTTACTAGGTTTAATCATATAAAAACATATCAAAACCTATTTAATCAAAATATTTGTGTTTAGATAAATAAGTCATAAACCTTAAACTTCCTACGTTAAACTTTAAAGTCTAGTCCCTAAATCCTATATCCTAAACCCTAAATCATATACCCTAAAATCTAAACCCTAAACCAAAACCCAAAACTCTAACCTTAAATACTAAACTCTAAACATAAAACATAAATCTTAAAACTTAAACCTTGTCCAATTAAATTAAACTGTAAAACGAAAACCATAAATCATACATTACATCCTAACCTGTAAACATTTTAATGAACATCCCAGAATATCCACGTTATAGTAACCACATGGATATTGTTGGTCAAGGTGTCTAGGTGAAATAATAAAACATTGGAATATGCAAATTAAGCTAATAAAAAACATTGGAAGATGCAAAGTGGATTATGTAAATAAACATTTTTATGTGGATAGATTAAAACACAATATCCACGAAAAATCTAAGATTAGATATTGGATATGAAAATCGGTTTTCTCCATGCTTCTACAATGTCCATCCAAGCCTATCCACTAAACTCTGACCATGTGGAATTGATTTTCTCCATGCTTCTATAAAGTTAACATGAAATTTCAATCTATTTGCCCTATAACTTTTCTAATGCAAAATCTCCAAAAAATGTAAGTAAAACGAATTAGGAAAACAATCAAAACAGCTAGTGGAAAGCCATATACCCCTAAACCTTAAACCGTATACCCTAACCCCTAAACCCTAAACCCTAAACCTTAAATCCCAATTCCAAAACATGAAGTTCTTAACTCTTATCGACTCAATAGCTTCCTATGAATTTTAAGCTGCAACACCTTTAACCCTAAAGCCCTAAACCCTAAACCCTAAAATCTAATCTTAAACACTAAACTCTAAACATAAAACATGAATCTCAAACCTTAATCCTTATCCAATTTAATTTAACTCTAAAACCAAAAGCATAAACTATACACTACATTCTAACTTCCAGATATTTTAACGAACATTCAAGCATATCTACACTAATGTAATCACATGGATATATATGTTAAGCTATAAATGAATAGTTTATAATATTTTATTTCATCTAATATATATCAATATGCATATTAAAATGTAAAGAAAAAATAATCATAATTTATTATGTGTAATTAAATATATTATTTTTAATACCTATCTTAAATGATAATAACAAAAGAAAAAAAAAGGGTGAGAGAGAGGGTGATGACATAAATAAAATTAGTTTTATTTTTCTAATAACAATGCAAAAAAAGAAACCGTTAAAGAATGAGAAGGGAAGTAAAGAAGAAGATTGATTGAAGTTACAGGAGTGTTTTGTCATTTCAAGTGGTAAAAGTATAGAGATAGTAGAAAGTAGGTTTTTGTGTAATGAAATGTTGAGAAAGTAGGTTTTAGTGCGATTGTTTCTTTATTTATTATGAATTGATTGAAATATTATATTTTGAGGTTATATACATAAATTATGTATATAATTTATCTATTATATTTTGAGGTTGAGGTTTTACCGCTGTGGATGCTCTTAGGCCATCCTTAACGGCGTACACGCTCATGTCTTAAAGTGTTTAAAAAATTATAAAATAATAAAACAGTGATAATGGATGTAGTATGCGAGTCTTCCACAAGATGTTTTTAGGTGAGATGTTAGTGGGATGTGGCAAGTGGTGATTGGTTCCGATTAAAATATATCTCTTTTTAATATTTTATTCTACATCCCCTGAATCCAGATTAACTTTTTCCGACTAATATTCTGAGGTAATCAGATCGTTTGTATTTCTGATTATTAGGTAAAGGAATTGGATCTAAACCAAACTAAGAGGCTTTCCCCAAAAATGGTGTTAACAACAAACACGAATCTAGGTTGTAGGAATTGCATCCTTCCACCTAAGTTTCCCTACCACACCTCTTGGGCGTGTTTTTTAGTTTAAGAAAATTATGGTTAGAGTCTGAATGGCTTTTGCTAAAATGGACAACATATCAAATAGGCGTTGCCATTCTTGTTAATTTACTAAAAGAATGAATAATTATTTCTACTGTTTATAAATTTATTTATAATGCTTGAAAATACTACATTCACATAAAGACATGTAACCTCGGACAACTAAGATAATAGGAAAACTCAAATAGACTTCTTATTACGAAGCTTCTCATAATACATTATATATTCATCTCGTTTGTTTGCCTTGCACGTAATAGAAGTTGTTAAAATGTGTTGTAATTATAAAATAAACCTAGAGTTATATAGAATAAAGATAGATCAAGTTGAAAGTAAAAAGGGAAAGAGAAAACTATAAGGTCAAGAAATTGTATATACATGTATAAATGTTGAAAATATGTTTAAATAATGTGTTTACTTTATATTTATCCAGGTAGGTTTTAAAATTGACAAACAAAATAAATAGTACAGCTAAACATAAGCAAAACAAAAGGAAAAAAAGAAAAGAATATACAGTGAAGAGAAATAAAGACATGATTATTATCACTTGTTTTTTCAGTTGTATACTACTTTTACTTTTTTTTTTTTTAACTTTTTTTCCTACTCTTATATTATTTCTAAGTAATAATATAATTATACATAGATTTGACTAAAATTTTAATGCTAAGAGATTGTTTTTGTCATCTTCAAATCAATAGAGACATATATTAATGACTTTATATGACAAGTTTCTTACATAAGCGTCACAAGCGTCAGTTGGTTAGCCATGATGACGTCTATCGGTTCATTGTTCTTTCGAGTATGACAAAACCTTTATGTGAGATTCTGATCCTGCAAAAAACAGAAGAGTTTTTGTTTTAATAATATGCATATATAATATATTAATATAATATTTTTAGCATAGTTATAATCATTTAAATTTTGAAATATAATTGATACAACTAAACATTAAATTAGTTTTACTATGCGATATTTAACATATATACTGTTGACGATAATATTTTTTTAACAAATTTCTTGCTCATTCATAGTTGGAAATATATAATTCCTTTTTATATGGTTCTGAAAAAGCGATTCTTATGGATTTTGCCACTTTCTAACTCAAATTTTATAAATATGTCATTTTCACTAAAAATTTATAAATTTGCCATTTTTTAAGTTTGTTAAAATGTGTGCTTTTATGATTTTTTGGGATAAAATATATATTTCATAACAAATACTAAACCCTAAGAAAAAATGCATGAAACCAAGAAAACTCAAACATAATATGTAAAATTGTGTTTTTAGATCTATAAAAGTGGCAAATCTAAAAGATTTAACATAAAATGGCAAAAACAAAAATGCCATTGAGAAAAGTCCTTATTGAGTAATTAACTCTTCTGAAAAATCTACCCCATGTGGAACATTGCACATATGCAAAAAAAAATGTACATATTCCAAATTTTCCATTTTCCATTTGGAGTATTTAATTTGTTTTCTTAATCGAATAATCGAGTAATAAAATTGGCACATTAATAAATTTTAGTCGCATTATATTTTTGCTAAAAATCCTAACAAAAATACTATAGTAGATATTCTAATGCTTAAGAGAGAAAAATCATGAGTGATAACTTGATACAAGACTCGGTGGTGAGCTTGTATCAGGATAGATATGATGGCTACACAAGATGGCGGTCGCTTCTCTCTTGTGTAGGAAATATGGTCGTTGATGTAGATCTGACACGATGGCGGTCGCTTCTCTCGTGTGGGATCGAATGAAGGGGAAGTGCTGGCGGATTGAAGTACACCACAGAGATGTGATTGGTCTCTGATACAGTACACGATCTTAGCCTTGTGGAATCACACACACAAGACAAAAAACAAGCTTATTCTCTTAAGAACACTTAAAGAGAAGAAGTGAAGAAAGTTCGGTTCTTTATTGATAATCAAGGGTAAAAACTCGTACAACTGCTGCAGGGGGACTTTATAAGAGTCCTTCAGCTAGCCCTAAGGCCGAAATAAATGTAAAAATGCAACAAAGGAAACAAATAAAATTACAAATACAAAACCATTGTTTTTGGAAAGAAAATAAGTAAAATACTAAAGCAAACTTGAAACCTCGTGATGAGCACGTCTCCTAGGCGTTGTTGGGGCTTAATGGACCTGCAATTATCGAAAATATTGAATAGAACTTACCTGGATGCGATCTAGGCCCAATCGATGTTCTCTGAACTACGTCTTGATCTACTTCAGGGGTCTTGTCAGGTGCATGTTTGTTTGTTGGTTTCTTGAAGTAGATGGTTTCTTGGAGTTTCTCTTGGGTAGCTTGATCAGTCACGTGCAGCTCTTCCAAGTCCTTGACGTCTTGTTCTTGATCTTCACTCTCTCGATCACTCTCGAAGGTGAAGCTTGTTTTGCTCGTCTTTTGTGACTCCATTGTCTTCTCTTGGATTCTAGAGGTTTCTTGACCTGTCAAAGGAGAATTCATACCTGGGGAAATGGTATGTTCAAGACTCATTTGGGTGAATGCTTCAGCAAGCTCTTCCTCGGCGATGGGATCATATTCGTCGTGATGGAGTAACGGTGGTACAGACCAGTTGACGTAGCTCAGCTCTAGTGAGCTCACAATGTCTTGTACAGCTAGGTTGAACCTCTTTCTAAGTTGTTTAGACTTTGAACGAGTCATGGGGCCTACTGGGACGACTGGTACAGGGTGTGGTACAGGATCTGGTACTTGATCTAGTTCAACGGGTTGGACAGGATAATCGATGTCCGCATCATAACTGATAAATGATATCTTTTTCGTTGCTACAATCATATCATATCATATTACGTTGTAATGTAGACATCAAGTCGACTTTAAACCAGACCAGTTGATACATACTTCAAATCGAAGGCTATTTAAAAGAGATTAGTAAAGAGAAATTAGGTTCAAGTTATGACCGCGAAGATTACTAAACAACACAATTTATTAGATGTTAAGGTCTTGTTTTGATGCTCTCTTTTGCTTATCATTACATTGTAACTTGTAAGTATACATTATGATCAACCAAAGAGCTTCGATGAGATATGTAAATATGTCATTGTAAAAATATGATTTTTATTCATAGAACTGATTAGTACATATAGAAAGAGTTAATTATTAATTAGGAGGGTAAGACATGGAAGGATCATCATGAGATTCGGATTTGGGGTAGCAAAAACAAGTGTGGAGGTACAGGAAACAAATTCCTTTTTCGTAACCCTTTGATATGCATGATTTATTGCATTGAGCTGTGTTGTTACATAAACCGAGGAAAACTCGCATTTTTGTTGGTTTTCCTGTTCAGTCATATATAAACTCTTTTTAAGAATTAGAAAATCACTAAAAAAAATCATTAAAATTTTAAAATATATATGATAAATGATTTATTTATTATGTAAATTGAACATCTAGATATCTCAAATTTCTCAAGAGGATTTCAAATCGAAACAAAAATAAAAAAGTATATTTTTGTTACAACCCCCAAAAATATAAATGTGTTTGTTACCTGAAATTATGGGCTGGAAGGTGATACTAAGCACCAGTAAAGGCAAGAGAAGAGATAAAAATTTCTTAGTTGTCATAGGTTATGTTTTTAGAAGATTGCACCAATTTGTTTCCAAGAAATATGTTGACCTAAAGAGGAATTCAAAACCAGTAGAAGAATAAGGTACAAAATCAATTTTAAATGGTTTTTCTATAAGAGACATATGTCGTCAAATGTTTTTAATAACATTTTGACGTTTATAATAACATTTGTAAAAAATCCTAGCTATTTATAAATAGATTTTACCTTTAATCTTTTTGATATATTAATATAATAGCTAGTTACAATATATTGTCTTGGTCTTGTGTGTGCATTTATATAGATATACATGATAACAGTTATTATAAATCTTCCATATTATGTATTTATCATTGGTCAACAATCAACAACTTCAATATTATGTAATTTATTAAATATTACATAATTAATTTTCCATAACCAAATATAGATTATAAAGTTGGTCAAAGGATTTCCATAACATATTATCTTTATTTGTTAAGTTACTAAACCTACTATAGTATTTTCGCAGCACTTTTTGCAAAAAAAAAAAAAAAAAAAAAAAATGAAACCCATAGTCAACATTTATTATTTGGATGCATTTAATATTTTGTAAAGTAATTAATGCAAAAGCATTAAATTACTTTCTATTATAACAACAAATATTTAATATCATATTCCAATTTCTAGTCTCTTTCTCTCCTTTCATCTTTATATGATATTTTTTATTTATTATATTACATAAAACATATGTATAATAAAAATACAAATTTTCACATATATTGCAATTTGATTTTTTTTTTTAAACAGACGTATACTACTTAATCAGTTTAAAAAAATGTATGTACAATGTTCCACATCAGATATAAAAATTTGAACAATGATTCAGTATCATTATTATAGGACTAATATTCTTTCAACTACGAATGCAAAGAAAGCTTAAATTCTCAAGCGTCCAAATTTGAAAGCTTTATTTGGTTTAATCTAGTTATTTTATTTGAGCAAATTAAGGCCTTGAATGCAAAGCAATGAAAAGCAGATAAAAAGCAGTTTTCCTGCCAAGCAGATCTACTGTCCTGTATATTTACCATTCAACATAAAATACATAAAGTGCAGTTCAGAAAAAAAAATATTATTAAAAAATAATTGTCCTGCCAGCAGATCAAAATTTAAAAGGAAAATTGTACTACACTATGAACAGTAAAAACGCTGGAGATTTGGAGTGTTTAATCTGCTAGTTTGTTTGATCTGCTTTTGTTCTGCTTTATATTTTTGAACTGCTTGATCTGCTCTGCCTGAAACGCTCTCTCCATTCGAAGCCTAAATTTTTAGATGACGGTCTGATAGTGAGAGCGGTACGGCTCAAGGTTGCGATCTGAAGGCGAGGAGTTGTGAGTATGTGAGGTCTATTACGCGTAGGCCATGAATAGAGACTACATGGAGACCTCGGACGTTGATGATTAGTTCAATCTCGGGATTTTTGGTGTATTGGCTGGGTTGGGTCAAGGATTGTTGGACCGTGGTAGCGGTTGGTTGTGGTTCAAGTAGTTGAACGGTGATGCTAGTTTCGAGGACGAATCTATGTTAGTGGGGGAGAATTGTGAGATCCCGATTTGCGGAGAGGTTTAAATGAATTGATTTGGCCACTTGTGTCACCAAAGTGTACTTATCTTTTCGGTTAACGGTTCTGATAGAACTTCACAGTTAAACGTGCTAAAATCATTTTATACTATTGATTTCACAAAAACCAATATCTTAAACACTATTAATCTCAAATTATTAAGGTTAATTCCGTAAACACTATTAAATTTTATGACAAGCACAAAAGATGTATTATTCCATCACAACATGTTATGTACAAACCATAAAACACACAAAGGAATCACCATACTCATGATATATGATGGTCATATTATTGATATATATATATTATAGAAACACATACGTCCTCTATATGGACAAGTATTATTCATCTGCATACATATTAATACATATACTTAGTAAGGTTAATGGCCTTTTAACATTAATTAGCAGGAGGATAATAGTTGCAAATCACAAAGGTTCCACCATTGTCACACCTGACTTTGGCACACCCAAGCCACACCGAGGCTCTCCACACAACTTGAGCATAGCTAGACTTCTTGCTAACCCACAGTCTCACTGCGTCAGTACCAGACATACTACTACTATGCCATGCCAAGTTTTCACCGTACACACCTGAGTTAGAGGGAATGAGACTACAGTCTCGCTTTCTTTGTTGAGCATAGTTCCATGCGTATTTCGCCAACGTCTGATCCCATTTCATAGGTGGCACTTGAACTTGGGCTCGAGCACGGTTGTGTTCGTCGACGTAGTCTTGTGGCTGGTCTTGTGCTTTCAGAGGAACAGCAAAAGCTAGGACAAGAACTATAGACAAGAGTATTAAGGTGTTGAGAGACTTAAACATCTTCATTATGTTGTGTGTTGGTTTTAGAAGAAACGATCGAGGATTTATATAGAGTTTATGTTGGAGTTATTTTATGGACTACTAATCACACTTGCTAGATATGTTTTAACTAACTAATAACACTTGTAGTAATTTTATTTCACTATTCTTTTTTAAAAAGTGTTATAAGTTATAACTAAGTCAATTAGGAATTGGTCCTTAAACTTGCCCCTTCATAAGAAATTATTATTTTTTAATACAATCTTGCAATATTTAAAAAGCAAGACAATTTCTTTGAAGTCGATGGAGTATGTATGCAATGAGACCTGATCAAGAATTATACATATCTACCATTTTAAGAATATATCAACCATTTTTCATTGTTTCAATTAGTCAAATCTATAAGAGGACTTAATTAAGGTCGGACTTAATTGGTTGCTTTGGGGTTTCCAACATATGTCATGTTTTGTTTTAAACTTTCCAAGGATAATTTAACATAAAAATTAACGATATTAACACCATAAGATTAATATGTAATTAATATGTGGTTGAAAAAATCACAAATTAATACTATAGTTCAAATAAAAAATACTTGCTCTGTTATGTGGGAAATATTGTTTCTTTATGTTTTCTTCCTTTGTTTTTTACTCTTTCCGCATTTAATTAGTTAATGTCGTTTAAGGTTTTTGCACATAACTTAAGAAAACAATGAACTTTATGTTATCTCTTTCTTTAAGATATTCTCTAATTATTTTTAATTGGTTTAGACATTAAAATAATTGGATAAAATTAAAAATTTTACTAAACATTTGCATTAGAAATCTAAAACGATAACTATTATGAAACGAAATTTTGAGTCTAGAACGATAACCAATTAAAACAGAGAGATTAATAAATTCTAATCAAATCATATATATATATATATCTATAACCATTAAAAATCTTAATACTTAATAACACTAGCTTTTTATATAATTATAAAATCAATAAAAAGAGGAAAAGGCTAATTTAATCAAAAGAATCTTCTACAAGGATCACCAATTAACAATATTTGAAATCTTTGCAACCATAATTTGGTTTCGCATTATGTTTGGAGATAAACACTATGCAGGATTGATCAAGAAAATGGAAAATAATAATAATTATTATGTACTTATTCCTTAACTGGATTAGGACTACCAATAACCACGTGAGATTTTCCTAATCTCTTTAGGAATGAAAATTTTCTATATAAAAGACTAGCGAGAAACCTTATTAGAAAAGCAACCTTAAACCCTAAGAGAGACAAAACCTAAGAGACGACCATGATCAGAGAAGACCTACCGGTAAGAAGTATTTTGATGCTTCCTGATGATATCGTGTTAAACTGCTTAGCCCGGGTCTCAAGATCTTACTACCCAACTCTCTCCTTAGTCTCCAAGAGATTCCACTCTCTCCTTACTTCACCAGAGCTTTACCAGATCCGAACTCTCTTAGGCTACATAGAGACTGGTCCCTATGTCTGCTTAAGATCCTCCACCAAATCCTTACATTGGTACATTCTCTCTCAGACACCACATAGTACCACAAAGATTCTTGTCCCGGTTCCATCTCCAAATTGGCCTACTGATTTTAAGTTGGATGTTGCACTGATTGCTCCTAATTCATATGCTATTAGCGGATTAAGAAATTATAATGCATCGTCTAACGTCCTACTCATGGACTATAGTTCTAACCAAAGGTGTGAGGCCCCAAGGATACAACAAGTAGCTCGTGTATCGCCATCTGCTTGTATTGACCAAAATACATATATAATGCGAGGCTGCAAAAAGCATGATCCGAAAAACCGGATAGTGATTTACGATACAAATATCGTTGATTGGGAGGTTTTTGAGATCTCTAGAAAACAATTGCGCGGCGACTCCAAGTATAAAAGGATTAGATATGAAAGAATTATGTATACCAAGTCTCCTAGCAAAGATGACACTATCAAGCTGTATAAAGGTATATGGAGGAGGAAAGACATAAAGGGGATTAAAAGAAGTGGTAAGTCATCATCTGATTGTGTGATAGGGAACGTATTCTACCGTCGTCCTCGTCGTGGTACGGTTGAGTGGTATGACCCTAACAAAAGATTATGGCAAAACTTGAAAGGTTTGAATGGTTTGGAAGAATTGCCTCGTAATGTTAAACTCGCGAATTATGGTGGGAAAATGGCGGTTTTGTGGGAGGAGTGTGTGCTTGTTGGGAACCTTCAAGAGAATACAATCTGGTGTAAGGTAATTGCTCTTCACAAAGACCAACACATGGAGATTTGTGGGACGCTTGAATGGTTTGGCAAAGTTTTTACATCCAATGAGCCATATGGGCTAGTTCATGCTTTTTCTGCTGAAGGATTTTGAAACATTAACCGATTAAACCTTAATGTTATTGTTGTTTTTATTTTGTTCTATTTTTAAATATATTTTAAAACTCTTTTGAAAACGAGTTTGTAGTGAAAATTTTAAATTCTAGATTGTTTATATTTTTATTTTGAATTGGATCAGTATACTATCGTTTAAGCTGGTGTACAATACATACACAATAATATTTTGAAGAAGACATTATATATAGTTGACATATCTTAATATCTTATGTTTGTACAAACTTAAACTTAGATAGGGTAGAGAGTTGGATTACTCTAATTTAGTCTTTTGGTTTGTAGTAAGACTTGAATGAATACATGTCGGAACCCCATTTTCTTTCTGCAGTTCAATGATCATTAATTCAAGATAAATCGAAAAGAATGGTACTATATATGGACAAACTTGTTTTTGTTGTTGTTAGTTAACAAACATGCACTTAGTTCTTCAGACGAATGTAAAAGAGAGTCTTAGCATTAAAGTTATTGACCACATGGGAATGGAAATTGAATTAGGGACATAGGTGACCTTGCACCACCCATTTGGTCAAAACAAAAGTGTTTTAAATACATTAAACTCCCATGTAGCTAAAAAAAGTGGTCTTAATTAAGTACTACTAGACCAAGAAGGATAAAAGAAGACATTGTGGTTCACAAAATAAGCCAAGTCTGGTCTAGAATTGCATATATGTTGAAGTGAAACAATGCCTATCTTTGATGATACATTGAACGACTCATGGAAAAAAAAAAAAAAAAGAAAAGAAGAAGAAGGTTTTTTTTTTGTCTAACTCAGGGTAAATCACCAGATCTATGTAAGGATCCGATACTAATCCTTGGGGAGAGGGTATCCCATGGGTAGGGTTCCCCCCATGCTTTCAAATGGGCCTTAAACAAGAGTCTCATATCCATGTGGCCAAAGAGATAAAGCCAGCAATTCTGCGTCTGAGGAGAATCGATCCCTGGCTTAGACCAACATGGCGACTCTTCCACCAGATTAGAACCACTAGCCCACCACCTCTGGTTAGAAGAAGGTTACAAGTATGGTTTAGTGAGAGTTTGAGCTGATATTGATCTCATAATATCTATCACAATTAGTTAGATATATTTGTGTACTTCAACACGAGTACACGACAGTATAATGAAATTGGACTAATAATTCGGATTCAACAACAATATGATCAAATTATCTGATTAACTAAGATGTTATGTCTCTCTAATTAAATTTTCTCTTAAGAGAGACATAACATCATAGTAATTGGATTGTCGTAACTAAAATATTAATCAAGTTTTAAAATGTTTTCAAGTAATTATGGAGAAGAGTTTCTTTAAAAAATAAAATACCTTTTTTAATATTACAAAGTTTTTAATATGAATCTAAACACTTAGGGTAAAAAATCTGATTGGATTGTCGTAAGATGTCATGTAACTCCAAATATGAAACAAAATCATAAATCATAATTGCTTTAATATACTGGCTACAAAAAAAAACAAAAAAGAAAGAATCCTTTAGTACTAAGTACTTAGTCATAAAAGTTTATGACTGCGGTTTTTTTCTGTATGTGAATATAAGTAAGTGGTCAGAATCTGTATTAGCATAACGAGTAAGATATATTTATATTAAAGTTAGACAAAGGTAACCACTTCAAATTTTCATTATAAGTAATCCCCCTTTGATGCCACATTACATCATCACTATTTTTTTCCACAATCTTCAAGTTTTCTCTGACTACTAATCTCAATAGATAAAGATAAAGGTTTTGAATCTAACCAAAAAAATGAAGATTGTACAATTCTTCGTAATCTCTCTTCTCCTCACATCTTCACTTTTTGTACTTTCAAACGCTGGTTCCGGTAAGTGTTTTACTTTTCATTTTAAACCACTATATTGTTGTTTGAAATTCTCTTAACATTGATATGTTATGCTATATGAATTAAACAGAATGCAATGGAAAATGCAATGTGAGATGCGCAAAGGCAGACAGAACACATGGAGAATGCCTCCAAGACTGCAATATATGTTGCGAGAAGTGTAAATGTGTTCCATCGGGTACCTTTGGAAACAAAGATGAGTGTCCTTGCTACCGTGATTTGAAAAACTCCAAAGGTGGATCCAAGTGTCCTTGAACATGCTTTCAAGATATACTTATTGCACATTTGATTAATATCTATAGAAATTTTAATCACATATTTGTTTGATGTGTGAAATAAAATATCTGTGAGCTACTATGCTAGTATTGTTTTGTCAATCTCCATATTAATATAAAGAAGTACACAACTTAAAAAATGGTACTTAATTACAATATAATGCCATTACAAATTCTATTAAATTTATAAGTCATTTTTATTATGGGTTAAGGAATTAGCATATTAATTTATTGAATATAATTAAATTAAAAAACAAAAATACATTATTTTTTAAAATGAATAAAAAATCAAAATAAACATCAAGATTAGATATCTAACTTATCATATTAGATTTTTATTAATTATTATACTTCACCTTTCATATCTATCTGATTATATTTTGGGGAATGTTTCAAAAATACCCCTTTTCATATACCACTTTTCAAAAATACTCCATTTTTCAAACTTTATAAAAAAGCCACTAAAAATGTTAAACTTTATCCAAATATGTGTGTAACCTTATAAATATACACCCAAATTACCTTTACTGTATATGTGTCTAAAACTGTATAATCTTTCATAAATACCATATAATTACCTTATAAAACGATCGTATAAAAACCTTATAACAACCTTTTTTAAACCTTTTAAAAAACCTATAAACCCTTTCTAAAAAACCTTTTAAAACCTTGTAAAAATTATTAAAACCTTTTACAAAGATAGAAATTATTTGAATCAAATCTCTCAGTAATAGTTATTATCTAGATGTGCCTTATAAATCATATAAATCTATATAATATTTTATATTTAAATAGGGGCATTTCTGAAGATGGATAGATAAAAAAGGTATTTTTGAAAGAGGTTACACCAAAGGGGTATTTCTCAAAAAAATCTCTTATATTTTTGTGAAACCAATAACTCATGATATGCTATAATATGAATTTTTTAAATGAATTATAAAATTTTCAATTTAAAAAGAAAAAACTATAACGGGTTACTAATTCAAAATTGATTAATATATTTAATTTATGCAAAATATATATTCAACTAAAAATTTGACTAAGTAACAGGTCAGAAATTTATATAAAATGTACAGTTTTATATATTGTAATAAACTTGTAAAATATTTTAATTTGGAACATGTAAACATAATTTAAAAAATATATATCATAAAAATACTGGAGCAAAAAATTTAAAAATTACTAATACTCTAAATTTGATCAAATTAACTGTTTAACCTTGATGTTATTATTACTCTGGTCTCTCTAATTAACTCTTCTCTTAAAAGTATTAGTTTTGAAATGTTTTCATGTAACATATAGAGAAGAGTTTCTTTTAAAATTAAAAAAAAAAAAAATTATAATTTCCAAATGTGTAACATGAATCTAAACACTTATGGTAAAATATCTCGAAATACGAAACCAAATCATAATTCATATTTGCTTCAATATTGGTTGCAAAAGAAAGAATCCTTATGTACTAAGTACTTAGTCATAACAGTTTATGAATACGATTTTATTCTGTATGTGAATATAAGTAAGTGATCAGAATCTGTATCAGCATAACGAGTAAGATATATTTATATCGGCATAACAACCACTTCAAATTTTCACTATAAGTATATCCCCTTTAATGGCACATTACATCATCACTATTTTTTTCCACAATCTTCAAGTTTACTCTTACTATTAATCTCAATAAATAAAAATAAAAGTTTTGAATCTAACCAAGAAAATTAAGATGAAGCTCATAGTTGTACAATTCTTCATAATCTCTCTTCTCCTCACATCTTCACTTTTTGTACTTTCAAACGCTGGTTTGGGTAAGTGTTTTACTTATCAGTTTAAACCACTATATAGTTGTATGAAATTTTCTTAACATTTATATGTTATGCTATATGAATTAACAGAATGTGGTGGAAAGTGCAATGTGAGATGCGCAAAGGCAGACAGAACACATGGAGAATGCCTCCAAGACTGCAATATATGTTGCGAAAAGTGTAACTGTGTTCCATCGGGTACCTTTGGAAACAAAGATGAGTGTCCTTGCTACCGTGATTTGCAAAACTCCAAAGGTGGATCCAAGTGTCCTTGAACATGCTTTGAGGATATACTCATCGCACGGTTAATATCTATGGGAAGTTTAATCACATTTTTGTTTGATGTATGAAATATGTGAGCTACTTTGCTACTCCCTCCGTTCCCTTATAAAATTGTTTCAAAAAGATAACTTTCTGAGGACCCTTATTTCGAAGAACATTTTGACAAAGGAATTTTTTGTTTTAATAAAATTATAACTACAAATGTATAATAACAAAACATATTGTAACGCCCCGACTATCACATATCCTAATGGGCCCCATGTCTATTCCCAGTCCATGGGCCCACAATTCTTAATGGGTTCCACGTTCTCTCACTAAGCCAGTAAGTTCATCCTTATCTGACTGTCAGTTTGCTATGTCCGGGAGACTTAAAAACATGTTAACCGATCCTATAAATCACCATATGATATTTTCCTGTGTTTTGACCGCACTCACACAGTTCCGACAATCATTTCCCAGAAGGTAACCCATCTTTGGACTACTCCAGCATAAGCATGCTTAACTGTGGAGTTCTCCTATGATATTTGACCAAAAAGATAAGTGCACTTTGGTGAGATAAGTGGCCAAATCAATTAATTTAAACCTCTCGACAACAAAATAATTAAAATATATAAAAATGCTAAAAACAAAATATTCAAGTACAAAACTATTTATAAAAAAAAACTATAAAGTTGGGAGAGTTTCTTTTGGGTCTTGGCGAATTGCTCTTTAATTTTAAAGTTTTGTTGCTTCAATGAATTGATAAATTGATTTGACCGTTACCAAAGTGCACTTATCTTTTCACTTAAATGTTTTCAGAGAACTCAACGGTTTTTACATCTAATGAGCCATATGGGCTAGTTCATGCTTTTTCTGCTACTGTTCGCTGAATGATTTTTTACCATTTGCTTTTAAAACATTCATGATTCACCGATTCAAACCCTAATATTATTGTGTTTTTATTTTGTTCTATTTCAATATATTTTCTAGTGTTTTCCTTCCATAAATTATTATCTCAGCAGTCATGCATGTAAGGATGCATAATTTGTATCACATAATGTATTTTGTTTCTTATCAGATGAGATTTTAGTGAAAATCTTTAATTCCAGAAGTACCACCCAATATCTTTGATGATACATTGAACGACTCATTGAGAAAAGAAGAATGTTAAATTTGCTTGAGAACTTACAAGTATGGTTTAGTAAGAGTTTGAGCTAATATTAATCTCATAATATTAAATCACAATAGCTAGATACCTTTTTGTACTTCAACACGACAATATAATGAAATTGGACTAATTCGGATTCATACAAGAAACTAATTAAAGTCAAGAATATCATCTTCGACATGATCACAAGTATACTAATAAACGTGGTTAATAAATCAAAATCAATATTACTTATTTTAAATTCGAATCTTACTAACGTAACCCATCTAACCTTTGTGCATGTGTCTCTCTATACGTATAAATACACGGTTTTACAAATTGCAATGATCTACCAAAGAAAAGTACTTCAAAGCGTGAGGGTCAAGGAAGATTAGGCATGTCAATCGGGCTAGCCCGGCCCGGCCCGGCCCGAAACCCGTAAAGCCCTTATATATGTGAGCCCGGCCCGGTCCGGTCCGAAAAATTTCCGAGCCTATATTTTAAAGCCCGGCCCGGCCCTAACAGGGCTACAGGGCTTTTCGAGCTTTTTTGGGCTTTATTTACCGATAAAAAAATCAATTTCTAAGTTCATAATAGTTTTTTAAAAACTATATTTAAAGGTCTACTATAAAAATAATGCATCAAATTTTAAATAACTTATCAATATTGAATAAAACTAACTTAATTTAAGAGAAAAGCTAGTTATCAGTTACCATCCAAGTACATGTATATATTGAATAAAGTCAATGGAGTTGTTATGAAGATTTTGTTTAAGTTCAAGAACAATATGATCAAATTATCTGTTGAACTATGATGTTATGTCTCTCTAATTAACTCTTCTCTTAAAACTATTAATCAAGTTTTGAAATGTTTTCTAGTAACATATAGAGAAGAGTTTCTCTAAAAAATAGTATACTTTTTTTATGTTACAAATTTGTAATATGAATCTAAACTCTTATGTTAAAAAATCTGATTGGATTGTCATAAAATATCATGGAATTCGAAATATGAAACAAATACTTTAGTACTAAGTACTTAGTCATAAAAGTTTATGAATACGATTTTATTCTGTATGTGAACATAAGTAAGTGATCAGAATGTGTATCGGCATAAAGAGTAAGAAAATTATTTTTACTAAAGCTAGACAAAGGTAACACTTCAAATATTCACTATTAAGTAATCCCCCTTTGATGTCACATTACATCATCACTATTTTTTCCCCCGATCTTCAAGTTTTCTTTTACTATTTGTAATCTCAATAAATAAAGAAAAAAGGAAAACTACATTTGGTGTACGCAAATAAATAAATAAAAATAAGAATTTATACATGCTTTTTTTATTAGTTCTCTCTCTTGACAACTTAAATTGGAAAAAGCTATCCCTATGATGGATAACAAATATTTTATCAGATAACAAAATAGATATCCATAAAATTTTAGAATAACTTTTATATATCATTTATATGTTTCTTATGCTGTTATGCATAAGTTAACAATTATAGCTGAAATATCATAATAAAATAAACATGTTAATATATAAGTTAGTTGATATCAATCATATAATAAATTATTCAACTCGATAATTATGAATTTATCAAATAATTTATAATTTAAAGCGGTAACATATGAGTAACTATAAATAATTTAACTATATAACTATGAGGTTATCAAATAACTTATAATGCATAGCGGTAACATATGATTTACATAGTTAATCAAATATATATCCATAAAAGTTATTGCATAAGCAGAAAATCTTTGGGAAAAAGTCACTTGGGATGACTGGGAAAAAAGTCCCACAACGGAAATGAGGATTGAAAATCACTCCTTTATATATGGTTACACTCTCATCTAGTTTTAAAAAGTGTGTAAGAGAGCAAGAAGGTTTCACACGTGCACCAAACCGAGCCGAGCCAGGCTCACCGAGTATTTTTTGGACTTTAGAGGTAAATCCAATTTTTTACCAGGGCTTCTTGTGCACTCCAAGTAAATTGGTTTGCACTCCAAGGAATATGCCGAGAATATTTTGAGGATATTTTGTAGAATATGCCGAGGATTTTCTCCCGGAGCCTTATCTCCTTATACTATATAAATAGGCGCATCTTCTCATTATTTCTCACACTCTCAAACAGAAAAGCATTATCAGTTCTAAAATCTTGCCTCTCTCTCTCTCTCTTGGTTTATTTTAAAGTAAGTTTTTAGTTTTTTAGTAGTTTCGAGAATATAATGTAGATCAAGTTCGCATGAGTCTACTACTCGTGTGCTCGAGTATTAGTTCGTGATCGGTTGTATCATGGGATTCATAAATCGTGATAGACCAAAACACTTACGGCCAAATATATTGAATTAAGGACAAAGATATCATATCTTGCCTCCGTGATTTATTTTACGCATTTAAATTATATTGTTGTAATTCGTTTATGATATCGTTATCCTTCATAAAATTCATATATTTTTTCGATTCGATTTTTTTGCTCCTACAGTTGAATTAGTTTTCAAACTCGCTGAGCAAAAACCGAATGGAGAAAATATACAAAATTTATTAAGGATAACGATATCATAAACCAATTAACAATATAATTTAAATGCGTTAAATAAATCATGAATGCAAGATATGATATCTTTGTCATTAATTCAAAAAATCGGCCATAAGTGTTTTGATCTATCACGATTTATGAATCCTACAATACAACCGATCACGAACTAATACTCGAGCACACGAGTAGTATACTCAAGCGAACTTGATCTACGATATACTTTTGAAACTACTAAAAACCTAAGAAGTTACTTTACAAGAAAACAAGATAAAGAGACAAAATTTTTGAACTGAGAATGCTTTTCTGTTTGAGAGTGTGAGAAATAATGAGAGGCTATGCCTCTTTATATAGTAGAAGGAGTAGAAAGAGATAGGGCTTTAGGAGAATATTCTCAGCATATTCTGGAGAATATTCTTGGCATATTCTGCAAAATATTCTCAAAATATTTTCTGCATATTCTTTAGAGTGCACACCAAGCCTGATAAAAATTGGGCCTAACAAAAGCCCAAAAAATATCCGGCGAGAATTCCCAAGAGCCCTCCCAGCTCGGTTCGGTTTGGCGCACGTGTGGAACCTTCCTTCTCTCTTACACACTTTTGAAACTATATGAGAGTGTAACCATATTATAAAGGAGTAAAAATCACTCCTAATTTTTGATGTAATACTCTTTACCAGATTTCCATTGCATTATCAAACTTACAATTGCATTCAGCCATTATAATATGGTTAATATCTTGAAAGTCAGTGTCAAAACCTTGAAATTTTCAGAAACTAGTTTTTCTGAAAAATTCGGTACCAACCGCCTAGTTAATATCTACGGGAAGTTTAGTCACATCTTTGTTTGATGTATGAGATAAAATGATGTGAGCTACTTTGCCATTAATTTGTTAATTCTGTATAAATTAGTGCAAAACTGTCAAAGTTGGCATTGGAAGTAATGTCAAGATCAGAGTTTTAATAGCAAAGTTTGCACATATAGACCACGTTTACTACTTAGCATTGTCACTTGTGTTTATCAATGTCCTTCAATTCTAATAGTTTCTTTTCTTTTCTTTTTTTTTCATGGTAAAACCAGTTTTAATAGTTTCCTCTGTCGAAAATACTGATTCGGCTCAATTCATACTTTTATGAACAACTTGCCACTTCACCTCAAACCTTAAACAAGCTATTCAATTATTCGTCAAGTTTAAACATTTTGAAGTAAAGAATTATCATAATCTGACGGGCCTTTAATGGGCCTTTCTCGCAAGAATAGACCCATTACTGCCCAAAGTTTAGTTAACAGTAGCAAAAGATTTCAATGTCTCACAAATCTTTCCTCATGTCAATGTCTCACAAATCTTTTCTCACTTATGTGTCTTTCTAATCTCCACCAAGTAAATATATAACAGAAACATTGCATAAAACAAACACCATGTAACATTCTATATAGATTCCCTCAGACAATAACATTGATTCAGTCACAAGACAATCAGTATTAGCATGGTTAATACCATCATAGGGAATCATACTTAAAACAATCAATTCAAACATACTCATACCACAAAAACAAAAACAAAGTTCCCTCAGCAAATCATTTTATCATCAAAAAAATTTATCAGATATACATTAGCATTATATAAAAATCATCATAGGGAACCAAAGATAATAATATCAATATTGAATTTTAAAGAGTTGTAATAAGGCTCAGATAATGTTATAGAAACAGTTATTCTCCTTGGCCACAAAAGGCCTCATAATGAGCTGGGATAATATGTTATCATCATCGCCAAATCAAACCCTTAAATCCAAAAACACCATAGCTTAAAAACACATAATTCAAAAAGACAGAACAAAACTAACAAACAAAGACTTGTAATCAAGATAAGTTACAAAAAAACCCTAATCAAGATTTGTAATGAATCAAGAAAGTGGAATCTAAAAGGCTCAGATATATGTATGAACATAATTCTACTCCTTGACCACAAAAGGTCTCATAGAGCTGGGATTATATGTTATCATCATCACCTTCAAGAAACCCTAATTCTAACATAGCGTAATCAGCAAACCGAATCAAGAACAGAGCATAAGACTAGAAACAGAGATATGAGATTCCAAACAGACTAGACTACATCAATGAGACGAGAGACATGAACTAGATGACTCAACGAGTGTTAAAGCTTAGATTTTTATAGAGCAAAAGAGATCAAGACCTGTATGAGGAGGAGACGAAGAATCGAAAAGTGATTTATAGAGACGGCAAGAGAAACTAGGGTTTCATATTACGAGCTCTACTTTTAAACCTAAGCCTTTTTTTTGGTTTGGGCTTAAAACTAGTTGGGCTTTCTCACGATATGTCTGGCCCAATATTTTGTGTGTGTGTTTGTTGTCTATAGAAATTAAATTGTGTTTGTAACGTCATGTTAATCAAATTACTGTACGGTGTGTAATTGGTTTTGTGGTTTCTAAAGAGTTTTAATTTTTTAATTTTTATTCAATTTTGTATTATAAAAAATTATTAAAATTGTTGACAACAATATATATATTATTAAAATTATGTATCATTTGTTCAATCGTTATAAAAAGTTAATAAAACATAGGGAGGGCACTATCTTCCGTCTTTTCACCAAAACAAAAAAAATCGTTATAAAAAGTTGTTTACATTCATTAAAAATCGTGTCTTACTGAAATACTGAGTTTTAGAAATTCATTATTGGATTAAAAAAAATATACTTTAACTAACTTTCAGAAGTGAATTTTCCCTCTACAAGATTTCCCATAAAAAAATTCTGCCAAGTTTTTTCCACCGTGAAAATGTTTAGTGCATCATCAGCACCAATCTTCGGAGATTCCATCCAAGTAGTTATAAGATTTTATGAGTTTTTATAAAGTCTTACAAAATATTAAAGTTTTATGCGGTAATTAAAAAATTAACAAGGTAATTATAAGGTATTTGTAAGATTTAGACACGTATAAGGGTTGTTTGTATATGCTCTTATATATCTACTTAGTATAATAATGATGGCATGAAAATCATTTTAATAGAATAGTTAGAACACATCCAAATTTCTTTTAAGAATGATATAGATGACTGATTTAAATATGGCATTGTTGTACCCCAAGTGACTGTCATTAAAGAAGGTAAGAAAGTCAATTTGACAATTGTGAAGTTTTTCTTGTACAAGATAGTTGATGATATAGAATTATGTAAGTCCTTTCCATGGGACACATTGATATTTCTTGATTACATAAAAATTATTTATCATCTAATGGAATAACTTATACAAAGTTGAGCATTATATTGAGACTTAGTGGTGAACTTAGGTCCATTCGTATACTTATTCTATAACATTTTTGAAATAGACATATTTTGTACAAGACAAAAAAATCTTGTGTTTTGTTTAAATTTACACTTATGTTGTTCCCATCCCACATTTCTCTCTAAACATGAGTCCATGAATTAAGAATAAGTAATGCTCATAACTTAAAATATTGTCAATCATGTTTTGCTTTTTTAAATTCGAGTTAGATTTTGAATTTAATTGACTAACGATTGACTTATATTTTTGAGTTATCCTCTTCATAAAAAATTTAAATCAAAACATAACTCAAAATCATGGAAATTTTCATGAGTAAAGATGTGAGAAGTTTAGTTACCTATTTTTTAATTAAAAACGAAAATTCACTTATATATTACTAAATCTTATTCTTTTTGTTTTTATTCAATTCATATATCAGAAAAAACTGAATGGTTTTACTTTATTTTAATAACTTCTCCTAAATAGTTATAAATTTCTTATATTTTGCCAAAATTATTATTTATATTTCATTTGAAATTAAAAAGGCATGTATCTCAATATGATAAGATTTTAAATATTATAGAATGTATGTAGTTATTTTTTTAATTTTCAATGTTACAAAAAAATGTTTAATTAACTTTGTGTATATTAAAATTATTTTATTATAAATTCCTTAAATAATTTTTAATTATTTATTAGTATAATCTTTTAATAACTAGAATTATCCATTATTTTTAAATTAAATTTACTTAAATAATACATACAGCAACATCTACAACAAAAATATCACTAGTCAAAGATTTTGGAAACAATAGTAAATCATAATTTACAGCGATTCACTACGTAAAACTGTTATGTTTACCACATCATATTTATTGCAAAGTTACATCAAATATAATATTTACTGCAGATGGTAGCCGTTTTTGGATTTGTCTCAGTTAGAGTCTCGCAGGCTGACGAGTGATTGTTCATCATCCGAAACAAAGATCTTTGAAATAGTCTCGTTTCAAGCCAACTTTAATAACTCATGTTACCAATCCGAATCATAAGTTATTGTTTTATCGTTTTCCAAAGGAGGAAGACGATGGCCTTACTCGTTAATTAGCAACTTAACTCTTTAATGTGCTTCAAAATTGGTCCAACAATTGTAAACTTTGTAATTTTATCTCCTTTCATCTAATGACTTCACCAAATGTACCATTGAAATAATTTTTTTTCCCTAAATTTAATAATTTATAAAATATTCTACAAATTTCTGCATCCCTATTTAATTCTTTGTTAAATATGCATATAAATATCAGAGATTATCGATTATATTTTTTATATAGTTGTATATATCCGTTTAAAATTGCCTAGGCCCCGATTAATTATGCTTTTTTGAAAATATAGGATAAACTGAAGGTTTAGGTGCTAGGAGTTGAAACTTGAATCACCACCTAATTCTCCTATCTCGCTTTCTTGAACATTTTTTTTCATTTTGTTGAATTTTTGAGCTTTCTTGAACATTTTTGAGCTTTCTTGAACATTTTTCACTAATCATATCTATAAATTTTCCAAATTGTATTTTTATAGAAAACTATTTGAAATATCTATTACAAATTATGTCGTATCTTAAGGTCATCAAAACCATATTCATATATGCTGAAGCCTGAAAGGTACGTACATGTCTTTCTCAAGTGTTACAGCCTAAATAGAGGATTAGGACTACATATATTTTCTATGTACATATTGTACTTTCCACCGTAAATATAAACTTAGACTTACGTCAACATCTCACCTTATTTTGGCATATTTTAAAACATGGGCTAACCACTTAAACTTAGACCATCTTCATTGAGGGTATCTTAGAAGGCTAAGATACCCCACTTTTTTAAAGAAAATATCTTATATAAAGATTATTGGTGGGATCTTAGAGGCTAAGATCCCACCAATAATGATGTACTAATTACATGAAAACACTATATATATATATATATATAGTATGATAATGAATTATCAATTCAAAATATATGCAATGCATGCATACATAATATTAGCTAGTTCCAGACAAATTACACGAATTGAAAGAACCGAACCAATAAAGAAACTAAAACTGAAACATAGGTTTTCTCCACCGGTTCGATTGCTTACCGTCATGTCCGATCCCCATTGATGGCCGAAGCCATGGCAACTCTGGCAGCGATTAGAGTTGCAACTGCTTCGGATCTATCCAATGTCGTTTTCGCTTCTGACTCGTTATCACTAGTCAAAGCCCTCAATCTGGCGTCTCCTTCGATGGAGCTCCATGGGATTCTACACGATATCCTTCTACTATCTTCTAGCTTTAATTCCTGCTCTTTTATCTTTATTCCCCGTGATTGTAATCGCCGTGCTGATGCGCTGGCAAAAGATGCTATTCGATCTGTAAGAAACAATATTTAAGATGAATGAGAGTAACTGTTTGACCAAAAAAAAAAAAAAAAGCTGTTCGATATAAATACTCGAATCGATCCTACACTTACAGAACTGATGAAAGTGAAACTAAATTGATATAGTTCACGTGCTTAATTAACACTCAAAACATAATTATATATTCAAAAATTTAGTTATTTTTATACTAGAAATAAAATTATATATTAAGAATATTCAAGTAACTGAACTCGAATCGAATAAACCCATACCGAAATGAAAATATATAGTCAAAAATACTCGAAATACTAAAAATACCCAAAATGGTCAAAAAATGTCACCAAATTTTTTTTTTTTGGATATTTTAAAATGATAACCAAACAAATAATAGAAATATTTTTATTATTAATCAGTTTTTGATCCAACTCCCTGATCTGGATACCATTCGGTTCATGTAATCATGTTAATCTTAAAATTAAGAAATGTATAGATATGATGACCCACTCACATAAGATTGTACATTATCTTCACTCATTCAAATGTGCACAATAATAATGAATAAGACTAAGGTCAATACACAAATGAATAAAAATAAATCAAATCAATTTCTTCCCATTTTTATCCCGTAATTTCAACAGTTAACATATAAGACCCCATGAGACTCACCCTTCAGTGCTTTTAGCATCCTAATTCATATGGATTTAGGCCGCACTTCAATACCATCAATCACAATGCCACTTTTTAGTTGATATCCTTTAACCTCAGTGAGACTCATAATAATCTCATCATCTTCTCCTTCTCTTGTCTCAAACTCTCCTAACTCAATCTCCATCCATCCGTCGTCTCTACTTTTCGGCTCTCTTCTTTTCCCGTCCCCGCCAACCGCCTCCACGGTTGTCGCCATTCGCTCTTCTCGGTTTCCGTAAAAGAGCCGCTTCATTTGTTGTTTCTTCTCATCCAAGCAACTTAGATAAGTTGCACTCTTACTAATTTGACCATTCTTAGAATTTACTGAAGTCTCAGCTGGAACTAAGTCTAGTCCATAAGCGGTTTTAGTTACTTTCATAATGAGATAAGCTACATATCTTGTGTTTGGTGATAACACTTCGGTTTGGATTTTACCCTTAATTTCTAATCTATCAGTTGCTTTAAGTTCAGCTGACTCCGGAAATCTGAAAATTTTTAAGATAAATACTATTAATACTTTAAGAAATCAATTAAAAAAAATTATACATGTTGACAAAGCAAAAATATTTATTTCAAGATTATTTGTTTTTGTCAAATTTTTTCAAGAAAATAAATTAATCAAAACTGACCTAGAATCTGAGACATTGCTCCAAGACCAGTAAGATGCATGGTCACTATGAGTTATGGAAATAGCTCTTGCTGATAAAATGTATGAAATTTTCCCGGAAAATTTATTGATCTTGAACAGCTGAAATTGCATAAGAATAAGATATTAATTATTAGTTCAAGTTAATAAAACAAAACAATTTTTTTCTGTTGTAAGTGTTAACTCATAAAAATCTAACCTTTCGGGCATTATCTATGAGGATGGAATCGCAAAAACATCGATAAATCTCCTTTTTGGACAAAAAACTTTGATGATGATCAGTAGATTGAGAGATTATGCTTTTGTAGTCAGAAGGTAGAAATTTCTCCCATACAAAATCCGAGTCTCCGGCTAACCGGAAAACCGAAGACACTTCCGACGATGATAATGCATCTGCTGGAGAAGTGAAGGCAAGAATATTGGCTACACATGCTTCTGGTAACATCATCTTCTTCTTTTTCTTATATGAAGAGTAAAATAATTACTAATCTTTAGAGTGATTAATCTAAAAAAAGAAAATGGTACTGAGTTATCAAAATTTTGTTTTGTGATTATGGGATTTGCTCTGATTTGTTTTGGTAAGAGATGAGTTATGCTTGGAGATAATATATAGTGGTGCTTGGCATATTTTTGCTGACCATTTTGGAGCAATGGTCAAATATTATCGAGTTAGATATTCTTTATTTGGAAACTTTATAACGTAAAATTATGGTTGTTGGCCTAAAGTAAAAGATTGGTCTTCCAAAAGAGAAAGTTCACGCGTAAGTGTAAATTGTCCTATGAGTTATATTAATTAGAGACTTGTGAGTTACGAGACCAAGCACTATAATTTCAGACCAACTCTAAAAAACTTTTATACAAGACCGATATTGTGGAGTTGTTTCTAGGTAATTAAGATCAGATTGGTCAGATTGAATCCTCAGATTATATACTTTTCGATGCAACTAAAAAGTTATGAGTTATATGGAAATTAGTAAAATACATTTTGACAATCTTTTGTAACAAAACTTTTTGCTATAAAATCTATAACAACATCTAACTAATTATATAAATCTTTCTACAGTTTAGATACTATATATATTATAAATAAATTCACATATATACATATCAATATGCTCAAATATTCTATGATGTAACATGGTTATCGAAAACTAGATACTACGAGACTACTAATGGATGTATAACATCATTTATTATAACAAATACAGACTATTAATTACATTGAACAAAAAAAACTTTAGAAAGATTCAAGTTTTTATTTATTTTAACAAAACAACAAAAAGAAAAAATATATATACATATATCCAAACGTAACCAAAGCAATACACATCTTTTCCAGTGGGTCTTATGTTCACTCTCAATCTATGGATCCACCACTTTTATCTGGCCTCACGTTTTTTCACCAGGCCCGTGAGCTCATCTATATCCGACGATTGGTTTGTTACATCCGGGAGGTTTAAAGACTTGTTTACCAACTTTACACTTCACCACATGATATTTTCGTGTATTTTGGTCTTACTCACACAGTCTCGACAACTATTTCCCGGAAAGTCACCCATATTTTGACTACTCCAACATAAACACCCTTAACTGTGGAGTTATCTCAAAATCTTTGACTGGAAAAATATGTGTACTTGAATGACATAAATGGCTAAATTAATTTATTTAAACCTCTTCGCAAACCAAACAGTTGATTCACGGTTATTTCATTAATGATTGATATCATAAAATTTTATGTATTCATATTTTTCTTTTTAGTAATAGCATTTCTAAAATATTTTTATTATCTGATGGCCGGAAACCCAAATACATTGGCGATTGCCTTAAAGTCATCATACCATATTTGTCAAATCATTTAGAGTTTTCTTGGTTATTTCCGGAAACTAAAGACATTATATAATGGTTACAGTTAATACAACTAGTGTTGTCAAATCATGTGCCATTGACATTTGACCAATGTGTGGGTGGGTTATATATATTGTATATTAGCACCTCTATTTGGAAGTTTGACTCCTTGACCCATCATAACATTTTGTAACTTTTGTATTTTATCCTAAGCAACACTTTAATCATTTTATTTTACTTACTCATGAGTGATACATGTGATTTGAGTATATTTTATGCAAGTGACTTCGACACTTACTATAAAATAGTATTTTTCTTCATCTAGGCATACCCTATGGTCCATCATTTTTTCCATAAAGTATTGGTATGCATTTTTCACATATTGATTATTTTAATATCACTTCTATCATGTTTTATTTTAAAAAGCTTTCAAACAAAATTATATATATTTTTAATTATATAATTAAAGAAATGAATAAATTGTAATTATTCTTAAAATAACTTTTAGAAAAAGACAATATTCTATGCGAAAAATAATACGAAAAACATATAAGAAACTATTTCAAAACATAGGACGATAATTAAAGTAATTAAAACAATATATCTAAAAGACATAATTTTTTACATTTGAGTAGTTAAATTATTAAAAATTATAGATTTATGAAACAATGAAATATTTATATGGTATTAGATATATCTCACATCGATGGTGAGATAGATCCTTGGGTAGTATATATATGATGTGGCAACACTTCTCCCTTGAGTTAGCTTTTGGAATTAGTTAGGCCACATTACTAACAAGATTTTTATGTAAAGTAACAAATGCAACCTAATATATCAAATTCTATTTATAATGTTGACAACCATGAAAACGATGGTGATTATCTTAGCACCAATGAGAAATGCACCAAAAAGGTTTATACAAAAATTCTGTCACCAAAAAGGTACGAAATAGTTTTGGGTAGTCTACATCCTATCGATCGAGGCAGATGAGTAGAGATTTTGAGGGTTACATGTGAATGTGTCATCAAAATCTATTCATGTCGTTCATAAACACATAAGGACATATTAGGCTATTGATGCGAAAGTGTCTATACGTTCATGACTCATGAGGCTTTCCCAATCTGATGACAACATCGCACTAACATTATGAACACACTTTTTTCTCTGCCAAATCTTCTCTAACGAACTATTATGACTTATGAGCAATTTATATCATTACTTAGCATGACAACATCGCACTAACATCATGAGCATGAGCATCTTATATCTACTTACGTTCCTAATTCGATACCTAAACCTACATGTAAACTCCAACTTGTATTATTATATAACAGAAGATTAAGTTCATAATTATAGTATTAATAATAGTTAATTAGATCTTATAATATAATGGACATGCACAGTTTCAAAAGTCTCATATGTACATCATCTTCAACGAGCCAAATAATTGAAACTTTGAAAATTCTACTCTTTCGAACGTGTACAATAACAATGGATAAATAAAAGACTAATGGTCGCAGCCATAAATAAATAAATGAATTCAGGTTACACACAAACCCCCTTGGAACTCTCATCTTCCATTTCTATACCATACTTTAAAAAATTAACAAATTAGACCCCGGCTTCCATAATAATCTTGATCCTAATCCATGGATTTAGGCCTCACTTCAATACCATCAATCACAATGCCACTTTTTAGTTGATATCCTTTAATCTCAGTGAGACTCATAATAATCTCATCATCTTCTCCTTCTCTTGTCTCAAACTCTCCTAACTCAATCTCCATCCACCCGTCGTTTCGACCTTTCGGCTCCTTTCTTTTCCCGTCCAGGCCGACTGCCTCCACGGTTGTCGCCATTCGCTCTTCTCGATTTCCGTAAAACAGCCGCTTCATTTGTTGTTTTTTCTCATCCAAGCAACTTAGATAAGTTGCACTCTTACTAACTTGACCATTCTTAGATGTAACCAAAGTCTCCGCCGGTAATAAGTCTAGTCCGTAAGCACCTTTGGTTACTTTCATTATCAGATAAGCTCCATATCTTGTGTTTGGTGATAAAAATATGGTTTCGATCGTACCCTTGATTTCTAATCGATCAGTTGTTTTAAGTTCAGCTGATTCCGGAAATCTGAAATTGTTTAAATAAATATTGTTAATAAACTAAGAAACAACTTAAAAATAAAAATATTTTTGATATATAAGAAAAAAAATTGTTATTTTAAGAAAAGAAAAAAAATTAACTAACCTAGAATCTGAGACATTGCTCCAAATCCAGTAAGCTGCATGGTCACTATGAGTGATGGAAATATCTCTTGCTGATAAAATGTATGAAATTTTCCCGGAAAATTTATTGATCTTGAACAGCTGAATACAAAAAGAGGATAATATTAGTTCTAGTAAATTAAAATGAATACAAAATTTTCTGTTCAAAGTTGGTAAGTCATAAAATTACGAACCTTTCTAGCATTATCTATGAGAAGAGAGTCACAAAAACATCGATAAATCTCCTTTTTCGACGAAAAACTTCGATGACCATCACTAGATTGAGAGATGAGGCTTTTGTAATCAGTAGGTAGAAACTTTTCCCATACGAAATCCGAGTCTCCGGCTAACCGGAAGACCGGAGAGACTTCCGACGACGAGAATGCATCTGCCGGAGATGTGAAGGCAAGGATATTAGCTACACATGCTTCTGGTAACATCATCTTCTTGTTTGCAACGTAAAAAGCTAATAAATCTTGATGGGTTAATACTAGAAAGGGTTTTGTGATTATGGGGTTTGCTTTGGATTTTTTTTTGTAAGTGTAGTGAATAAGTTATGCTTGGAGATAGAGATGGTGACTATATATAGTCATGGTGAGAATAGTTCTGCTGACCATTTTGGACCATTGGTCAAAATTTATTTATTTATTTGGAAGCTTAAAAACTTAAGTAAAAGCGTTTTGGTTGTTGTCCAAAAGAGAACGCGGAAGAGAAAGAAATATTAGCACAACTAAACTATTATTTGATTCTCACATGATCCACTAGCACAACTAGACTTTCTATCTTAAATTTGAAAATTATCCTAAAATTAGATCAATACTCAATATTTTAATAGCCAATCAAAATATAACAATATACCATATCAATTTTTTATCCAAAAAAAAGTCAAAAATTATAATAAGAAAATAAAACAAATTTGAGCCATTCTTTTATAAACCCAACCGAAAAATGATTTCGTTTAATTATAAAATCTAAACCCTAACCACTATTTTATCAACCCAACCGAAATATAATTTCGTTTAATTACACAATCTAAACCCTAATCACTATTTGTCAACCCAAACCGAAATGTAATTTTGTTTAATTACAAAATCTAAACTCTAACCACTATTTTGTCAACCCAAACCGAAATATAATTTTTTTATTTATAAAATCCAAACTCTAACTACTTTTTTATAAACCCAAACCAAAATATTATTTCCTTAATATAAATCCTACATAATTTATTTCCGTATTTTGCTTTCTTTTTTATTTTAATTTTTATTTATTTTTTTAAATAAAAAAATGACATATTGTTGTATTTTGATTAGCTATTAAAGAAGGGGTGAATAAGAGTGGTTTACCCCTAAGGATAAACTCAAGTACTTTTCCTAAAATTACTATTAAACACGTTAGTCCAAAAATATCATACACGGTAACAATGATTTTTCTTTCATTTGACTACTCACTAAAAAATAATTTTTAAGGGTTGATAATTATAAAGTTTGGTTTTGGGTTTAGGATTTAATTCTTAGGATTTAACTTTTATTTTTAGTTAAATCTCAAAAAGTGAAAAGTGTGATTAGTGGACTTTCCATGAAGGTTACAAGTTTGGCATGAACACATTGGTACAAACAAACAAGTGTATTGTTGTTAATAGGTACAAGAGTTTGACATTGTAAGTTTTGAAAACACCGATAAATTATGGAAAAAGAATTTAAATTTATTATAATTTTGAAATCTTAATTGAAAAAATATTTAATTTTGTTAGTATATGATTAAATTCAAAATTTCGTTATGTGAAGTCAATACCGATGAGACTAATATGTTTCAGTTAGCAAAATTTTTGATAATTAAAACGAAAAAGCAATAAAAATACATGGACGTTTTGTATTCATCCAATTCTCAAAGTTAGGATTTTTGAAATAGTTTTTTAGTTTTTTTTTGTTTAAAATACTTGTTTACAAAAGTGAATTAGGAGTATGAAAAAAGAGGTTAAGAAAAGAGAGAATGGTGAGTAAACCAATTGTTTTATGAGAAACGATTATCAAAAAAGTCAAGTGAAAGGTAAATTAAACAAATCAAAACATGTCTCGTAATTATATTGTGTTTTTGCTTTTTATTTTTGTAATAATATAAGTTCTAAAAGTTAAAAGTGTGATTAGTGGACTTTATTTATTTTTGATATAGATTATGCAGTTTTATAAATAGCAAAATAAAAAAATAACCATGTCATATTAAACAAAATATGTTGTTTAACAATAATAATAAATTGCTCAAATTTTTAAAATTCAAATAAAACCAAAAGAACACTAATAATACATCAATTGTATACGATAATCAATTTTAATCGTATGTATTATTGTTTGCGAAAGAATAAAAATCCTATGACTTCTTAAATCTGACCAGTAAAATATTTATAAGGTTTTACACCATATATGAGTTTTGATATCTAAGAGTAAGCCACAACTCCCTGAGTACAGACGACTATAAGAGCCAGCCACAACTAGAAAAAGCAAAACAACTCCTCTGCAGCCGCCAATAAAGACCATCTACATGATCACAAACCTCAGAATCATAAAAAAAAACTTGGAATAATCAGTAAATGTAGTTAACGACCTAGTGGCCAAGAGACAAGAGGTTTGGTTTCGTTAGTTTGGATTTTGGAATACCTAAGGTCAAATCATGGGGGTGTTGGTCTAGTTGAATAAGGTTCTACACCAAACTTTTAGAGTCTCTTTCACATTTCAAGATCCAGCTTCTTTGTGTAAAATGTTTATTACTAATTGACTCGATGAAGAAGTCTCTAATCATTTAACATTGCTTACAATCTAATTGACTTTAGTTTTAATACCACCACTAGGTGTGACTTTCCCAACATCTCTAGCCGCCAAGACTCATGGTCAACTTAGTAGTGGTAAGATATATAATTAACCAATTAAACCAAATTGTTCTTGAAATGAAAAAAAAAGACTAAGAAGATTTCTCAATATTCAAAGTAGAAAACATTGATCATATTAAACAACTGACCAAAACAAATCCACCAATTCTAAGTTTCATTTACAATTGAACAAAGAGGTATGAGATGAAGAAACTATAGAAGTGTTGGTGGGTTATGTTACTTGGATGGAAACTGATAACTAGCTTCATTCAACCATATTGCTGCTGTTGCCTTCTTCTTTTAGGAATTGTCTTAGGAGTTCGATTGTCTTACGGTAAAGGTTCATATCGATTCCATCCACATTTCTTCCTGTTCGAGCTTTCAAGATCACCTAAAGAAATGGAAATCAGTTTTCAAATTGGTTAGCTATCAAAGACAATTTTATCATTTTCAAACACACAGTTCAGCCTGGAAATGGGTACTAGTGTCTACTGCTAACTAAAACTCAATATAACATTTTACAATTTTCTGCTTTTAAAGAAGTGAGAAGAGAAATCGATTTTAAATACGACCTTTCAGAAATGCTCATGAATATCACAACTTTCATAGTATACTTGTCTAACTGAGATGCTGAAACTACTTCTTCTCAGGAAACCAAATGCTCGATGTACGTTAGATATACTCGAAAGGCTTCAAATACTACTACCATAAATCATTTCTGAATGAAGATAACTAAACATTGTAAGGACTAAAGATCTTTCAACTTGAATAAAAGAAAAGTTGAAACTTTCTACAAAACCAAAGTCCTTTAACAGAGTTCATAACTTCAAGATTTGCCATTTGGTAAACTTGACCTCCCAAAACCTATCCTTGTTCACCTTTTTGGCATATCCGCAAACACACAAACAAGAAAAGAGAATCTCTTCATCCTAATCCAATACTCAGGTTTTCTCATACCAACAACGCAGACACTACATTTAAGTTAAAAACCCCTAATGAAAACACCAACTAACCTCATTATTGGGTTGTTCAATGTGGATCTCTCCAATAAACTGGTAAATCGAACCAACCCTGAAACTAACATCTCTTAGGTTCTGAGCATTAATCTTGAGACTTCTCCCTCCATCTTCAATAACACCAATACCAGTCACAACTGAATATACACTCAACCTGCAAAAACAACATCATCAATTCTCATTACATTGATACAATCTCTCAGTTCATGACTTATAAAAATCAGAAACTTACATTCCTGTAACTCTGACTGAAACAGCTTCCTTGTAAAAAGGAGAAGAAGGGTAAAGCTCTTGTAGAGTAATGGGTACACCAGGTTTCATTTGAGACTTCGCCATTGATTTCACAATTTCAACAAAACCCACAAAAGTCTCGATCTTTCGATAATCCTCAGCTTCTAGTATCAAACTGAAGAGATGTTAACTAATTAGCAAAAAGATCCAAACTTGACAACAAATAAGTTATAATCAATCAGTGAACTATATAAATCTGCTTCATGTCTATATGAAATCCAAACAAGTTTGAGGTTTCTAAGTAATCAGAACTATAAAAATCGAAACTTTCAGTGAAAAAAAGATTGAGGAAGAAACTATAACTTACACAGAACGAGAGGTTTAAGGTGAATCGCAAAAGGGTTTGCTTTGTGTTATGTAAAAATCCTAATTTTTTTTTTTTTTTTTCTTTTCGAGAGAGACTCAGTTTTGTGATTTCCTTAGCTACAGACTCGATTAAAGAACACAGAAACGATTTATCATCTGAAACTTTTGAGTAACGTTGCCGGCGTGAGAATTATTGCTGACGCCGGGATCTTACTCGGAGCAGTAAAGGAAAAGGGATGTAAAAAAAAAAATTGTATCTACCAAACGACGCTGTTTTTGGGTTAACGAGAAAAAAGATGAATATATATTTCACTAGTTGTTGACCCGCGCGGGAGGTTTATAAATATTTTATTTTATTTTTAGTTATATTATAATTTTTCGTTGTTTTTTTTGACTTTTTACTGTTGTTATTTTTTGATATTTATTTTTTCATATCGATTATTTTTTCAATTTTATAGTAATTTAGTATTTGAAATGTTTATCATCATTTGCTATTCGTCAGAGGTCGATGAAAAGTTTATGCAGTATTCTCTCTTTTTACTAAGTATGTGATTAAGATAAAGTTTCCGGTGTCTCGGTTTGATATATTCTATGATCTGGCTTGTTTCCCGTTTTTTCCTACGTTCGAACCTGTGTATTCCGGCCAATGATTTTGAAATCGGTATCGTTGTTGCAGATGTGTCGCTCTTGTAAACAATGGTTCTAGAAAATGTTTTCCCTGTTCCGTTTAATCATCCAGTTCCAAACTCGTGTATCCCATGTTTTTATGATTTTTTGAACCGGTTTGATTGTTATGTGTTGGACCTCATGCCCATGTTTTTTTAGATTTTGTATTTTGATTGTTGTGAAAGTGTTGGACTTGAAGCCCATATTCTTTTGGATTTAGTAAAAAGAAAAATGATGATGTGGTGGATGATGTGGCGCTGACGTGGCGGAAGGAGAAGAGAGTAAAGGTAACTTTATATATATAGATACTGTAGACCTGGGAAAAAAACCGGACCAAAATCCAAACCGAAATAGATCCAAAATATTAGATTCATATTCGAACCTGAAATTTGAAATTTATTTATTGGGTACAAAACTTTTTTACCCGCAAACCCAAAACCGAATCCAAACCCGAAAATACCCAAAATATAAATGTATAAAAATAATTTAGGGAAAAATGTTATAAAAATCTCCAACTTACCATTTTTTGCCCTTTTAATCCTCAACTATTGCGGTGGTCATTCAATACTGGATTTCTCGTTGACGTTTTTTTAAACCACCAACTTCTGTTGACCGAGCCATACTAAACATGTCGTTAAATCCTCTAAAACTACATTATACAAGAATCAAACTGATTTCTAATCAATTTAAAAAGAAAAAAAAAATTCATATTTATGCTTAAGAACATAGGCAAGGAGAGTTTCATCAAGGCCACAAAAGCCAAACTGCAAGTATCTTTGTTATGGAAATCATATGACTTCTTCCTTTGTCATATGACTTCTTCCTTTGTTTGATATATGATGTGTTAACTGGAAGTGTTAATCTCTTTCAATATCTCTAAATGTTAAGTAGAATACTAAGTTAAGTTATGTATGTTTTACATGTTTAATAAAAAAACACCAAAATCGTACTTATTTTTAACTTTACTATTGAATAAACTGTAAAAAATTAACATTATTATATATAGGAACAAGTGTTAATCTCCTTTGTACATTTCTAATGTGTAATTACAATACTAAGTTACAAAATTACTTTATTTTACAACATAAATCTACAAACATCAACCATTAAAATAATAAAATATTTAATAATCTAAAATATTAACCATTTAAATCATATTACTAAAATTTTGAATATTTTGAACCACATTTGTTTTGTTGTTTATATGGCCTCGTAACCATTTAAATCAGTTTACTAAAATTTCTTATATTAATTAACCCATAATATAATTTATAGATGATAGTATTTTTGACTAGTTTTACAATAATAAACATGAAACTTTTCAACGATTACATAGTTTCGAGAAAAATCAAATATATATATTATAAAATCACATTATTAAATTCCAAATTTTTTATCATATAATCAATAAAAATAAACTTATGGAAACCCCATCATAAATATCTAAATATATCCATAATTAATCACTATGTAATTAAATCATTTTTTGATAACATTGAGAACTATTTGCTCGTTGACAAAAAAAAAAGAAAACTATTTGCTCCAAACTAAGTTATTTGATGACTAAGAATTATTGAGAAAATTAAATAAGACAATACATATTTAAAATATAGTCGAGTTGTCACAAAAAGGCCACGAAAGGTTTTAATTGTAAAGCACCTGATACGAGTAGCCAATGCAGATTTAGTGACTATATTTTCTCGGTGGGTGGGATGGTTAAATTAACAGTATCAACCATAAAATGACGACAAAAGTATTTAGTGGCAAAATATTTAGTAGCTTGTTTTAGGATTTGTAGACTAGTTCAGGGAGTTCATTAACTTTTGAATAAATTAGATGAGAACAAATATTCTATTCAAAAATAATTTCCTTGAACTTGTTTGATATTCATGAACAAATTTTGAACTCGCCACAATTATTTGTTATTCGCTTTTGTTGAATATTTCTACGCATTCGCCACCATTAAATTTATTTAGTCAAAAGTTCTTAGTTGTATCTTTTGAAAACCGTCATAGTAAAATTCTCATATTCATTTTTACTTTAAGACAATATCTTTATAAACTAATTAATATTTCTTTCATATCATTAAATATCAGTCACAACAATAATAATCAAAATTATTTTTATTTTATTTTCTTAAACAAAATGAAGACTCATATTTTCTTAAGATATTTTTGAGAAAAAAAATGTCTAAAAAAGAATTCACATGTATCTCGTACCAAATTCAAACAAATTGAAACTAAATAATTCATTTTCTTTTTAACGTATGACTGAATTTGGTTGCTTTTGCGTGAAATTAATTAAAACTGGTGAGATGAGGATTGTCGTTACTTTTGTCAACTATGCATTTTTAAGAAAATGTCTAAATAATAATTCACATGTATCTCATACCAAATTCAAATTCAAACAAATTAAAACTAAAAATTCACCGTCTTCTTAATGTATGACTGAATTTGCTTGCTTTTCGTGAATTTGAACTGGTCGGACAAGTATCTTCTCGATTGTGCCATAATTAGATTTATTTTGTCGACAAAAGAAAAGAGCTGGTTCAACTTTTTTTTTGGTTTTAATATTTTAGGTTCTAGAATATAAATCATGTTCGTAATCAAACTATATTTCGGTTATGTTTAATTTTGATTAAGGAAAATAAATTGTGAAAATAAATAAAATTAACTAATCTATATATCTATACTAGTCAGTTGCTCGCGCTACGCGCGGAAATTTTATTACTTTGTTTATGAGTAATTTATTTGTGTTTTATTTCGTACTTATTTTCTCCACTACAACATATTTTTATTTTCTATCTCATGTTGTGTTTGTATAGAAAATCTATTTTACTTTAGTTTCGATAGTAGTTGAGAAATTAAGTGTCTATAATATAAATCGATGTATAAGCATAAACAGAAGTGTTATAGAGAGTTGTAGAAAAATGTGTTATTAAGGCTCCCACCAAATAGAGATTCTGATGATGTTAATATTGTGGATCCTTTTAATATATATATTTTTTTTTTGACATCGCTACAAATTATAAGTCTCTCTTTGAGAGGGACCGGGCTCGAAGCCGGATCTTGTGAGAAGGCAAACAGAGTTGAGAACTACTAGCCCACTTGCTCCTTCTCTGTGGATCCTTTTAATATGTTAGTTCAAAAGTTGAGAATGATTTGTGGATTTTGCGTGGATTGTTGTATTTTTTATTTATTGATTTGCCGATCTCTTGTTTATTATCTATTTACTTTGGTTTATTATGTTTTTATTTGTTATTTTTATTTGTTATTTTTTTGTTATATTTGTTATTTGTTATTGTTATTTAACATACATATTAGTATAATCTACTTTATACTAATTTAACATATTTATTTTATTATAATTATTATCTGAAAGGACTTTTCATTTTTTTATTTGAAAAAACTTGTTTACATGTGTATAAATCTTTAACTTAAATAATAAAATGGTATAAATAAATTATTAAAATTAAATAGTAAAATGATGTGGATGATGTTAGAAACATCAAAGGACTTTTCATATTTCTTTTTGAAAAACTTGTTTACATGTGTATAAATATTTAGATTAAAGAATAAAATGATATAAATAAATTATTAAAATTAAATAATAAAATGATGTAGATGATGATTAGGATGATGAGGTGGCTTAAGGAGAAGAGAGCAAAGTTAACTTTATATATATAGACTAGTTGTTGATCCGCGCTGCGCGCGGGAGATTTATAATTTATATTTGAATTTATAATTTATATTATGATTTTTTAAACGTTTTATTGTTGGTTTTTTACTATTGTCATTTTTGTTATTCTATTTTCATATGGATTTTTTTTTCAATTTTGTATTAGTTTAGTACTTAATATGTTTATTGTTATTTGCTATTCGCCAGAGGTCGATGGCAAGTTTCTGCGACATTCTCTTTTTTCGCTAGATATGGGATTAGAGAGATAATGTTTCCGGTGTCTGGTTTTGATCTATTCCTTGATATATGTTCTAGGATCTGGCTTGTTTTTTTGTTTCTTCCCATGTTTAAATCTGTGTACTCTCACCAATTGTTTCAAAATCGGTGCATAGCTGCAAAGGAGTTGCTCTTGTAAACAACGATTCTAGTAAATGTTTTTTCGATTTATCCTTCACCGGGTTGATTGTTGTATCCGACGTTTAACTATCCAGTTACAATCCGTCGTTTTCTCGATCTTTCTTAACCGGTTTGATTGTTGTGCAACCGTTGGGACTCAAGCCCATGCCCTTTTGAAATTATTAATAAAATATTTTTTAAAAATTGATGATGTGGCGGATGATGTTGCGCTGATGTGGCGGAATGAGAAGAGAGAAAATGTAACTTTATATATATATATAGATATATAAAGTTACCTTTCCTCTATTTTCCTTCCGCCACGTCAGCGCCACATCATCCACCACATCATCATTTTTATTTTTACTAAATCCAAAAGAATATGGGCTTGAGGTCCAACACTTTCACAACAATCAAAATACAAAATCTAAAAAAGCATGGACATGAGGTCCAACACATAACAATCAAACCGGTTAAAAAATCATAAAAACGTGGGATACACGAGTTTGGAACTGGATGATTAAACGGAACAAGAAAAACATTTTCTAGAACCATTGTTTACAAGAGCGACACATCTGCAACAACGATACCGATTTCAAAATCATTGGCCGGAATACACGGGTTCGAACGTAGGAAAAAACGGGAAACAAGAAAGATCCTAGAATATATCAAACCCAGACACCGGAAACTTTATCTCTCTAATCACATACTTAGTAAAAAGAGAGAATACCGCATAAACTTTCAATCGACCTCTGATGAATACCAAATGATGATAAACATTTTAAATACTAAATTACTATTAAATTGAAAATATAATCGATATGATAAATAGAAGAACAAAAAATAACAACAGTAAAAAGCCAACAAAACAAACAATGTAAAACAAAAAAAAATAACGAAAAATTATAATATAACTAAAAATAAAATAAAATTTTTATAAACCTCCAGCGCGCAGCACGGGTCAACAACTAGTATGTATATAAAGTTAGCCTTTTCTCTCTTCTCCTTAAGCCACATCATCATCCACCTCATTTTATTATTTAATTTTTAAAAAAGTATACCATTTTATCATTTAATTTTAATATTTAAACCTATGTAAATAAATTTTTCAAAAATGAATATGAAAGGTCTTTTTTATATATTATACAGTATAAAACTAAAAAAGATAATTGATTAAAAGTTAAAAAACTTACTAATTATCGATTATACTAACAAATATATAAATAATAGATTATAGTTTTTAGTGAATGTTTAAAATATATATATGATTATATTTACACAATGAAAACCAAAATATAATGGGATTTAACGGGAATAGAACAAAAAATAAGAAATTTTGAGAATATAAATCTATCTAATTTATGTCTCAAAACATTTTCTAATATAAATGAGATAGGTCGAACCGAAACATGAATTCTCATTTTTTATAAACATATAAAAAGGTAAAAATAAAAATAATATTTCTTTAAAAGTTTCCAATATGAATTTAACTATTTGTTTCCAATACAACACATATGTTAAACTAATAAACAAAATAAAAATTAACTATATTTCATAAAATTGAAAATTAAAATAAAAAACATTATTAAATGAAATAAACTTAATATAAAGTAAATTATACTAATATGTTAAATTTAAAAATGGTTCCATATGAAAAAACCAAAAAAAATATATAAAACATAAAATCAGAAAAAAATATAATAGTATATAAATGATCATTACGAGATATAAAATACGACAAATCCAAAAAAGGAAAACGTAAAACAAAAAATAATAAATTATGACAATATATAAAGAGATAATGTAAACAATTAAAAATACAACAATCCGCCCGAAACCCCACAAATCATGTTCAAATTTCATGGCAACATATAAAAGGGCCCAAAATATTAACATATAGATTTATATTTGGTAAAAACCCTAATAGCACACGTTTCTCGATGATTCTCAACCGCACTTCCATTTACGCTCACACTTCGACTTATACTATACACACTTAATTTCTCAACAAATAATGAAGCTAAAACTCAATAGTTTTTCTATACAAACACAATTTAAGTTTAAAAAAAGTAAAGTATGGTATAGTGAAAAAATAAGTAGGAAATAAAATACGAACCAATTACTCATAAACAACATAATAAACTCCCGCGCGTAGCGCGGGCAACCGACTAGTTTTAAGTAAACTACACTAAATTTTTGTTTGTTTGTAAATATTTAGTTGTTTTAGTGAGTTTTTGTTTTGTTTTGTATAGTTTCTCATAATTCGGTTTTGGTTCAGTTTGAAATAAAACCTTATTTTTATAATTCGGTTTAGGTTCGGTTTTTGGTTCAGGAACTTTGGCTCGATTCAGACATTTTACCAAGCCTATTTTAAACATTGACTACTAAACCCTAGTACTAAAAACATCATGACCAAATCATTTTTTTTTTTTTTGTCATGACTAATAACAGCACCAAAACCGTAACGCTTAATGGTTTCGCAAACACTTTTTTACTAGCTTACAAGAGTGAACACATTTATAATTTCATAAGACACATACATAAACATAAGTAAAACCATTTGGATTATGCTACTACATACGAGAAAACTTATTCTTCTTCCTCTTATCTTTAGAAAAACACAGTTCTACGCAATGTATTCAGTAACATCTTCTTCTGGTTTCATACTTAAAACATACACAATACATATTACATAGATATAGATAACATAGCTTCATCTCGCTCTTCTTCTTCTTCTTCTCTTCATCACAACCACTCTTTTTCTTGAAACCTACACACAATTTTAATAAGACCGCAATGAAAATGTGTTCTGCTACACAAGTGACAGAGCTTTGTATTTACCAAATTCTCTGAAGTCTGTATTCTGCAGATTTAGTTTCCTTTTGCGTTCTCGATCTTTGTATTTGCTTTGATCAGACCTCATCGAAAATGGCTGATGACAAGAGCCTCTGAACAAAGTCTGACTTTTGCCTCCTCTCTTCTCGGTCTTTTGATGAGACGGGTGAGATGCATACTTGTCTCTTGCTGAATAAGTTCAATGCTAATCAGAGACTAAACCTTCAAGATTTAATAAAGAAGATAGTACAGAAAGAAACTATACCGCTCCATCTGTTTCTCCTCGGATACTTTTCTGGTTTGGCGCGTCACAGGAGAAATCTGTGATCGTGTAGGTGATATAAACGACGACAGGAGAGGATCAGGAGTTCCACTTGATGCAACAGAACCATTACGAGAAGTAAATCCTAACAACCTCTGTAGATCTCCTTCTCTTAGTTCTTTCCGAAGAAATGAAAGTGTTGAATTGGTAACGCTTTTCCGTGACTTCCTCTTTCGCTGCAAGTAAAACTCATTAAGGAATTCAACAGAGCAATGTGATTCCTTGGTAAGATGAACTAAGACAGTCTGTAAGTTATAATGCATATAAACTGAACAAAAGGATATCTTAAATAAACTCCCATGGTGAAGCGTTATGTGCGCTACGATATCAACTCCCACTTTTAGAGAGCAAACAGGGCATACCTGCAAAATAACAGATTATCACATTCTAAGCTATAGTGTACACAATTGCAAAACTATTGAATTCTACATTGTTTTGATTGTTCAAACAAATATCGAGAGCCGGAGAGCAATACCGCGTTCTTTGACTCTAAAGTATGTTCGTCATCTATGTGACAGCACAAACCAATGATATCATATGACTCTGCGCAGAACGGGCAAGCAAACTCCTCCTGGAAATCATCATCTCCATCTATTTCTTCAAAGCCCATTAACATTTCTACATAGTCAAATACAAAAAGATCATATAAATTACAAGCATGATACTGGTTAACGCCTAAAGCCATTCACCTAGCCAAGAAACAAACAAATATGAATAGAAAAAAACAAAACTAGACTCCAAGAGACAACCTTCTGAATCATGTTGTTCTTTCTGACAAAAACTCTAAAACCAAATTGAACACAAAACTAACATTTCTGCATTTTTAAATACAAAATGATCATATAGATTACGAGCATGATATAGGCAAAGGCATACAACCAAAACTAGACTCCCAGAGACAACCTTCAGAGTCCTTTCTGATTAAAAACTCTAGAACCAAATTCAATACAAAAAAAAACTTAAATGCAACATTCCTCTAGATCCTGAGAAAAAATTATCTTTTAGATTATCTTCCTGCACTTTCTCAGCCATAAAGCAACCTTTAAATGTGAATCAACACCAAATGAAACAACTTAAAACCAAAACCTAAAGATCTATGAAGAAATCAGAAAATTGGGCATACCCTTCTTGTAATAGATTAGATTAAAACATCAAACTTCACTGTCTTATTTATAAGCAAAAACATCTCTTACAGCTCCACAAACACAACACAACACAGCACAACAAGTACAAAGCTTCTCTTACATACCTCAAAACTACAGCCAGAAATTAACTAGAAACAAGGCAGAAACCTAAATATGATTCCAACTGTTCTTACACTTGCATAACAAACCTAAACATTTACAAAAGTCTTGCCTGAACCCAAAACCAATCAAACTTTAAAAAAAGTTAGAATCTTTATTGAAATTTTCCTTCTTATGAATAAAATAAGACTAATAGAAAACAGAACCTACCCTTCTTGTAATAGATTAGATAGCAAATTCGCTGTCTTAATAGACAGAAAGCAAAAACATCTCTTACATCTCCATAAACACAACAAGTTCAAGAGCTCTAACTGTTATGATTTAAACTGTTCTTACACTTACATAACTAACCTAAACATTTACAAAAGTCTTGATCTCTGAACCCAAAATCAAGAAAACTTTTAAAAAAGTTTGAATCTTTATTGAAATTTTCCCTTCTTTGATGGTTCAAGAATCAAACTAAGCTACAAGCTCTAAAAATCAAAACTTTATACAAGCAACTGTGATTCTCACCAGATCGGGATCGAAGCGTAGCTAGAAATCTCTTGGAATCAGCGTCCATCTCTCTGCTCACGAAGAAATTAAGAATCTTTGAGCAAATTGAAGGACGATTTAGCAAAAAGGATCGATCTTGATAGATGAAGATGAAGAAGATGAAGAAGATGAAGACGATGATTTCTTGGTAGAGGAGGAGAGAGGAAGAGAGAAGTGCGTTGTGATGGAAGGAGGATTATTATTATTGGATTCTCAGAAATGATGGACCGGTTATCGAAATTCTAAATTCCGGTTTGCTATTTTATTCCGGTTATTAGTTTCGGTATTTATAAATTAATAATGTTGGAATCACAATATTTTATTAATTTATAGTAAAATTAATTAATTTATAAATTAAAATTTATTATTTTATAGTGTAAATTAATTTATAGTATTATTTTAAAATTTTAAGAGAAATTGAATATATGATTTGGGATAATTTTACAAAAATAAGATTAGTTTTCTAGATATTATAAATGTTATAGTTTGGAAATGAATTTTAATATTTAGGAAAAATATTTTTGACTATAAATTAAAAAGTATTATAGATAAGGTTAGTGACCTCAAATGTTTTATGTATTTAAGATTAGTGACCTTAATTTTTATATTTTAACATCCTATAAAATTACCAAAATGAATGTGATACATATTTAAAAATTGAAAACTTAAAAAAATATTTTAGCTATTTTTATAACATGTTATGAAGTATATTACAAGATTATATTTTACAAATATAACATAATTTTTTGATAGAGCTAAATTGTAGGATAAAAAATATTTTTGCAAAAAAACTAAATTTTAATAGGTATTTCTAAAGTAATTATAAAATATTTATAAATCATTTATATTTGTATTTTAAAAAATTTTACACATATAAAAATATAATTTGTGTATTGTTTTATAAAATTACACATATATTTATAAAACTTCAAACTTAAAAAAAAATTGTAAAATTTTAGAAATAGACATTTTGAAACAAAAGTAAATTGAATTTTTTTTGAAATTTCCTTCTAAAACTTTTGGTTCAGATTAAAAATAAATAAATTCAAGCTCGGTTGAAACTTTTTACCGAAAATTTTGTCCGGTTTATCAATACTTAGAAGCGATGAACCGGTTATATAATCTCAGTTCCCGGTTCGTAGTTATCTCTGAATTTTTATTTCTATGGAGCCCTAAATCATCGACCAGAGCAAATCGTTTCCTTGTTCCGATCAGAGACCCTCCCTCGCCGGCGTAGCTGTCGTCTTCTTTAATCCGGTAAGTTTCCTGAGAATTAGTTCTTCATTCTTCGTTAACTAAGATAAAGGTTATATCTTTGGTTAGAATTGCTCTCTGAATCAATTTGGTTCTAATCGAAGTACATTTTACTGGTCGTCGTGTTGCGTTTCGATTGAATTTGGTTCATGGGTTCGCTTAAGATCTCTCAATCAGTAGGGTTTAGAAGCTAAAGGATCAAATTTGGTTTCAATCTCGTTACTTCGAGCTTTAAGCTTATCTATCTATCTCATATGTTTCCAAGTTTAAATCTTATTGATCAGAGGATTGTAAATATCAAAACTTTAGGGATGTGTTTGTAGAGTATAGGCAAGCTTTGGCTTAGAGGATTGTTGAATTGAAGGTTTTGTGGCTGAGGTTTTTTGCTTTGTGTACTTTTCCGTAGCCATCTTACCATTGTGTATCACAAGCTAGGGGTATGCTGATTTTGTTGATCTTCAGATCTTGTTCTGTTTGAAAAAACTATTCAGAGGATTGTAAATATCGAAACTTTAGGGACGTGTTTGTAGAGTATAAGCAAGCTTTGGCTTAGAGGATTGTAGGATTGAAATTTTGTGGCTGAGGATTTTGCTAGGTCGAATTATGTGCCTTGTTTACTTTTCCGTAACCATCTTACCATTGTGTATCACAAGCTAGGGGTATGCTGATTTTGTTGATATCCGTATCTTGTTCTGTTTGCAATAAATTTTCAGAGGATTGTAAATATCAAAACTTTAGGGATGTGTTTGTAGAGTATAAGTAAGCTTTGGCTTAGAGAATTGTCGAATTGAAGTTTTGTAGCTGTGGTTTTTGCCAGGTCGAATTAAGTGCCTTCTGTACCTTTTCGTAGCCAGATTCTCTTGCATCTTGCTTTTGTGTATTTCAAGCTAGGGGTATGCTGATTTTGTTGATCTCTTGTTCTATTTGCAATATTCTGGCTATGGCATGACCTAAATTTTTGTTTGTTATGCTTTCTTATTTTTGTAGGTTCGAAGTTTGCTTTGCTCTGCCTTTGAAGTCTGTTGATTATTCTTTCACAGAGGAAGTGACTGGGATCTTCGACGCATATTGTTAATATGTTTTCTGGCATAAAGATCATACCTCGTGATGAAGTAAATCAACTAGTTTCATTTTATCCTGATTTTTGTTCCTGTTTGTGTTATGTCTGGCTTGAAGTTTGATGTTATTTTTCTTTGCTTTTAGGTGCATGATGATAGTTCGGAGGGTGAAAGAGAGAAATCTAGAAGCGGGAAAGATAGGAGAAGAAGGAACAAGGATGTGGACAGAAAAGAGCGTAGGGGAGAAGGAAGTAAGAGAGACGGGAAGAAGATTGTCAAGGATGAAGATGGTGGGACTGTTGACAACGACTCGCTCGAAGGAGATATTGTTAGGAAGAAAATAGGTCTTGATTGGATGCTGCCGCCAACCCGAAAGGCTGATCCAAACCCTACTCCAGATGTAGAGGAAAAATTCGAGGAAAGTGCACCTGAGGTAAGGGAATTTTGATTTGGAGTTTCGTTCTAACTAGTCCACTCCAGATTAGATAATTAAGTTAATGCCTTTTATTTTCTCGACCAGGTAACTAAAGTAAACCCAAGGGAACTAAATCCTTACTTAAAAGACAATGGAACCGGTTATCCAGAGGAAGAATCTGAGAAAAAACATGGTAAAGACCAGCTTTTACCATCTTCGGTTGTTGGAGATGGGGGTGCGAGTTGGAGAATCAAAGCACTCAAGCGTGCAAAAGAACAGGCGGCGAGAGAAGGGCAAAGGCTTGAGGAGGTAAATTGTGTATATGTTTACGATTTAATATAGTCTCTTTGGCCATTGAGTATTGCCTTATCATTTGACGGTTATGCAGGTTGCTGGAGAACGATGGGGTTCTCTGGGTAACCTTGTTGAGTCTGTGGCATCTCAAAGAGCAGCTCCATCTCGTGCCCATTTGAATGCCATCAATAATAGAAGAAGAGGAGAAAATGAGAAGAATGAGAAGAAGGATACGGAAAAAAAACCAGAAAGAATTTCTGAGAAGGTACTTGAACCGCTTAAGTTAGTTTTTATTTTTAAGGTTAGTACTGTTTCAGTGAGAGTGTGACAGCTAAGATTCCGACGTGTTTTATTTGAAGGGTAATGATCGGGAGTATTTGAAAGGTGACTCGATCCACCATCGTGTACTGAGAGCCCCCAAGACTGACCCTTCATTATCTTGGGGAAAGAGAAAGAGCCAAACTCATAGAAATGAAGACTCTAGGCTGATATCTGAAGCTGCAGCTCACTTGAATAGGTTTTCCAATGATGGAAATTTCATGAAGGAAATGCTTTCTAAGCAGAAGAATGTATCAGTGCCTCCTGTAGAGACTCATGGAGATCACATAAGTGATGTGGAGCAGGAAGCATTACCGCCAGAGACCGATAAGGATGGCGAAGTGACTCTTCCCAGTATGGAAACTTTAAGTGTGAATAAACTGGCTGCTAAAGCCTTCCAGCTCCGTATGAAAGGGAAACATGAAGAAGCCCAAAAACTTATGGTGAGACAATAACTTTGTTATTCCACATCATTCACTTGCCTTGTGCCTGAGTCCTTTTTCCAACTTATTGCCTACGTATGATTAGTTTAGCCATTTTTCGTGCTTACTTCTGAAATGAATTCTCTTGATATTCACAGGAAGAAGCAGAGAGGCTAAAAGCAAAGCAAGCTGTTGGAGACGATTCATCCAAAGACCACTCCATCAGAACTGCAGTGAGGTAAGTTTACTTGTATTTTTGAGCTGTTTAGGGCTTTCGTTTTTATGTGATAACATTCTGACTTTAAGATTCCTCTTTTTTTCATTAGGTATCCTGACAAAGATATGTCGGGTAGAAGGAAGAAGGAAGATGATAATACGGATATGCATCTAGCGAAGAGCATAATGCAGAACAAACAGTACAAAACATCTAATAAAGCTGCTGATGATGAGTATGACTATGGAGAAGCTCCAAGCAAAAAGTCCCGGAAGCGGGAATCGTCCAGTAACATTCCTGAAAAGGACAACCGTGTGAAACGTATTATGACTCAGCAAGAACGCTGTCTCTTCTGTTTTGAGAACCCTAAACGGCCTAAACACTTAGTTGTGTCCATTGCAAACTTCACCTATCTGATGTTACCACAACATCAGCCCCTAGTCCCAGGCCATTGCTGTATCCTACCAATGCAGCACGAGGCAGCCAGCAGAAGTGTTGACGACAATGTTTGGGATGAGATTCGTAATTTCAAGAAGTGTCTTATAATGATGTATGCGAAAGAAGGAAAAGAAGCAGTGTTTCTGGAGACAGTTATTGGTTTGTCTCAGCAACGTCGCCACTGTTTGATCGAGTGTATCCCAATTCCTCAGGAGATAGCAGAGGAAGGTCCTCTTTACTTCAAGAAGGCAATAGATGAAGCAGAGAGTGAGTGGAGTCAGCACAATGCAAAGAAGCTCATAGACACTAGCGTGAAAGGTCTGAGGAATTCTATACCCAAGAACTTCCCTTACTTCCACGTTGAGTTTGGTCTAGACAAAGGGTTTGTTCACGTGATTGATGATGAACAACAATTCAATACCAATCTTGGACTGAATGTAATAAGAGGAATGCTCGAGCTACCGGAAGAAGATATGTACAGACGAAGAAGGCAGGAGTCCGTGGAGAGCCAGAAGAAGGCGGTTGTGAGCTTTGCACGCGAATGGGAACACTTTGATTGGACTAAACAGCTTGATTAGAAGAACATCTGTGACTTGCTGGGTAATATCAGTTCTTTTCAACGGAGGCTTTTCTTGAGTGACACTGCCTTAAACCTCCTCCCTAAGTCCTATGGACACATTGCAAAAGTAAAGGATAATTTTTTTGAACATTGTTGTCTTAAACTGTGTATCTATATGTGTCGAGATCAGGATGGTATCGATAGTGTCCGGGTTGGATAGATTCGAGTTGAAAAGACAAAAGAATTATTCTCCATTATTAACAAATTAACTGACAGTAAATAAAGAAAAATTCTCAGAGTACATAACTCGGGTTTGGTTTTTTTTTCGAATCAATCATTTTGTGTTAGCTTGTGCAATGTGCTATATGATGTTGCTTATCACAAATAATTTATTTTATAGCATTGGTTCTAGACTCTAAACAATTGAAAATGGAACAAAATTTTGATACAACAAGACACAACACAAAAGAAGTGTATACGTTAACGCATCACAGCACTACTCCTCGAGACATTGACACATGCTCTTTTGCTTGCCCTTTGGATTGTTGGTACAACCAAAAGCCCTCATGTTATCTTCACCAACCATAACCGTGAACATTCATTGCAAGTCCTCTAAGGTGTTGCTTTAGCAAACGGTGAAAAGAAAACAATATAAACCCAATTGGGTGAGCAAACCAAACCGCTACTCAGGCAATAATGGCTAGGAGGATTTGAAAGGCATTATGGCATTAAGATTTCCAAGGCTTAGCTCAAATTACACATTTCACACTAGTCTAACAATAAGACAAGAAAATTACACATTCCACATTCTGCGAGCTTCTTCGACTTCTGCAAAAAATTGGTTTTGGAGCTATTTGCACCAAATATTATGCTCTATCCCAATTTGGTTCACCAGTTCCTTGCTACATCGCGTATTCGCTACACAAACGAGGTTGTCAAGAACGCACAGAAAAGTACTCTCACCTTCGTTATTCGAGGAATCAGATATGGGTTGTCTCTACGTGACCTTTGTGGTATTTATGGCTTTGAGAGAGATTACACTAGAACTGCACTTCCAGCACAGTTTCAGGGTTCTCAAGCATTCGGGTCTTACTTTGTCAACAAGGTTTATGACTCCAAGACATTTACTCAGACAGATGTCAGACATCCAGTTCTCAAGTATGTAATTCGCGCCATTGGGAACACATTTCTGTGTAAGATGGAACCAGGAAAGATGAGACTTTCTAAGCTTATATTATTACCTTATGCGATCTACCATCTTCAAATTACATACATGAGAACTGGATATCAGATCGCATATGATAATACTATAAGCTCAAAAAGTGTCATCTTTCCTCGTTCCATCTTACAGAGAAATGTGTCCCCAATGGCACAAATTACATACCTGCGAACTAGATGTCTGACATATGTATAAGTGGATGTTTTGGAGTCATAAACTTTGACCAAAATACTTGAGAATCCTGAAATTGTGTTGGAAGTGCAGTCCAAGTGTAATCTCTCTCAAAACCATATAGACCACAAAGATCACAAATTTTGCTGGAAGTATAATGTTATTTCGCCATATGAACATCACTGCAAGAAGAAGAAATATCAAAAGAAAAACTTAAAGATTATAAACCGAAGATAAAAACGCAATTCCACGATTCAATAGAGGAAAAGCAAGATTGTGGAGAGATATGGCTGACTCTTCAGTGGAATCCCACGAGTTGCAAAATACTAGAAATCAGATACTTTTTTAACTAAGAATGACATGGCATACACACAAAGAGTAAATGAAGAGGACACGGCAAATAAGAAAGATTCAGACAGAAAACAGTAAGTTCTCTGAATGTACTAATTTCAATAACCCATCAGTTCACTCTGTGTTTTCTGGTACAGTTTGGTTTTATTAAGGCAAAAACAATATGAACCAATTTGATTTGTCTGAACCAAACGGGATCAAGAACCAGTACCAAAAAGAAAACATTTCATCTCATCCTGCACACTAATCTAAGTATCTAACACACACCACGTTTTCATCAGAGCTTTCATAAGATCCTCAAAAACATTTTTTTCCGCATCATCTCAGCAAATGACGTTGAATTGTCAACAGACAAATCCATACTTTCAACAAAAATAAATAGCAAACATTCTAAATCAAAGAACTAAATATCCTTACACTATTTTATCACGTAACGCCAATGGAATTTGGAGATAATTAAGAATCCAAAAAATAAAACTTGAACAATGCACTCATATAGTTTAAAGCAACTGGTCAGGTTTGCTACTGACCTTTGCTGGGCTTTGGTTTGAGCTTTCCACATTATCTTTAGGAGAATGAGAATGGTATATCATGTACAGTCCAATTTCATGAGCTCCTCCACATCCTGCAATGTCATGAAGATTTTAAGAAGCTTTGGTCTCGTGATACTAAATCCTCAGCGTAAACATGTCAAATAAATATATTTACAGGAGTGTCATTCTGCAATTCATCAAGTAAAATACTTTTCTTCAAATTGAGATCCGTCAACATAGAAATTTAGGAGGTAATAAGTTTTATAACAATAATAAACAAAATGTTACCATCATTTGATTTCCTATGAACTAAAAACACATTCATGAATATGTGAAGACTGCATCGTGAAGTTAAGTAACATAAAAGGGTTATTCACCTCAAGGATGGGTTAAGAAAGCATGTCTAGAAAGCTTTTGTCCAATCTCCCATCATACAACATATCAGTGACCAATTTAAATGTTGAAGCATCTCCAACAAATCTGTGACTCCTCATTTCTTTGATGAGTTCTGCTGATGTAGCTTTGTCACCACCTCTAAGTTGTGCCCTGATCAGCATATTATACGTACAATCATTTGGGAGAATCCCGTCTTCTTTCATTTTTTTGAACAAGGCATTTGCTTCTTGCATTAAGCCTTTTCCACAAAATCCTGAGATCATAGTAGTGTAGGTTTTAACATCAGGCTTCACAAAGCTCAGGTTACAAAACAAATTCCACCCATCTTCCACCTTCCCCGCTTTGCACATACCATCAATCATAATAGTATATGACAAAATATCAAGTTTTGTTTTACTCTTTTGCAGGTCCAGGAATACCACCAATGCTTTCTCGAGCTTCCCGTTCTTACATAGTCCATCTAACAAAAGGTTGTACGTCATACTATTGGGAGGCACACCATCAGATTCCATTTTTTGGTATACTTTTTGGGCATTATCACAATCTCTAGCTTGAAAAAACCCTTGCATAAGAGTGTTATAAGTTAGAGTGTCACCATTCAATCCTCTTTCAGACATCTCAGAGAAGAGTTCCATACCATCCTCTACCCTATTACCCTTGCAAAATCCCTTTATAAGCGTATTATAAGTCACTACATCTGGGAGACAGTCCTTACTAACCATGAACTCAAACATTTGATTGGCCTTATCTAGACGATCGTGTATACAAAACCCATTGATTAACGAATTGTATGTGACATTATTAGGATCTATTGACCTTTGAATCATCTCCTCGTACAATTTTTCAGCCTCTAAAAGCTTCCCCTCTTTCGAAAATGCATCGATCAATGCATTGAAAGTGACAACATCAGGGTTGATCTTCTTCTCGATCATATCACTTAGGAGTCGAGAGGCATAATTCCATCTTCCGTAATTACAAAGGCAACTTATGAGGGAGTTATAGGTAATAACATCAGGTTTGACTCCTTTGTTCTCCATTTTATTGAATAGCTCAACAGCATCATCCACTTGTCTGTATTTGCAAAGACCATCAATGACTGTGTTGTAGATAACAACATTCGCTTCTATCTTCGCAACTTCCATCTTCTTAACCAGATTTAAAGCCAAATCAATATCACCTCTCTTGCATACTCCATTAACAACCACACTATACGTAACCACATTTGGTTGACATCCCTTTGCAACCATTCTCTCAACTAAACCCACAGCTTCCGACACTTTGTTATCGCGAAAAAGTCCATGGATTAGAGTGTTAAAAGCCCATGCATCAACTTCATATCCCATTTCAACCATTTGATCAACCAAAGCAACTGCATCCGAAACCCTATTCCCACGGCATAAACCATTAACAAGTGGGTTAAGCGTGACAATGCAAGGCTCATAACCACGTTTCATCATCTTCCCAAGTACAGCTAAACCAAGAGATAGTTGAGAACTTTGGCAAAAACAGTTCATCAAAACACTAAAACTATAGAGATCATGTGAAATCCCCAACTTTTCCATCTGTTGGAAGAGAGATATCACAACATCATACTTCTTCATCTTAGCTATAGCATTCAACAATTTAGTGAAATCAACAATTGAAGGACGTGGACGAGACTGTATCATCTCACTGAAGAGACTCATAGCTTCATCTAACTTAATTTCACGAAGCCCATTTCTCAATTTCTCTCTGTAACCATTACTGACGCTAGAAAAAGCTCGATGCCAGCGAAAAAAGAACGACGGAGAGGCATTTTCAGGTTTACCTTTCTCAAGAAAGCTCCGGTGAACAAATCTCTTCGCCGCCGATGTAATCGCCAACGATCTCCTCATCTTCAGCCGAATTAGGTTTCTTCTCGATTTCTGATTACGTTGCGAGAGAGAGAGAGGAGATTTCGTACCGGGATTTAATATTGGTTCAATCCGGTTTAATCTTAAGTTACCGTTGGATTATTTTTGACAATCTCGTGTTGGTTTGTCCAGTCAGATCTTCCCACACGAACTAAACAAGTAGTCGTATGATCAGTACCCGAACCGAAAAATTGAACCAAACTAAACCGAGAATTATGGTTTTCCGTTAAGAGAAAAGAACCCATAAGGAATTATACTATGCAATCGGTTTATTGGTTTGGTCGGTTTTGCTTGTCCTACCCGAACGGTTATTCAAATTTAACCGAATTATCTATATTACTTAAAATCAACTGAACTAATTGAACCCATATAGCCAAATTTAACTAAATTATCCATATTACCTTAAGTTAACTGAAATAATCTATCTGATTTAACTAAAATGAACCAGAATAATTAAAAAAAAACTAAAATATTTAGATAATTTCGGTAATAAACAAAGAAAAAACCTAAAAAACTGATATCCATACATGTTGGACTCAGGCGTTATCAGGAGAAAGCCCAGGATCGTGACCCATCTAGTTGGGCGAAATAGTTTGTATCGATACGAGTTGTGCGGGATTGTTCTGGCATGTCAGCGAAAATTAGAGGAAATCGAGGAAATAGTTGTGAAGATAACGAGATCGTGGGAAGAGAGATCGGAACAAAGTTAGAGAAGATGGAGCATATAAATAGGCATAGATCGATTAGCTTTGATATAATTCAATCATTTGTAACACAACACATTTTCTGTAATAATAAATTCATTTCTGGTATTGATCTCGACATTCTTGATTACCTAGCCGGAGAGTCTAACCCTTGTCTCCAAATTCAATTTTTGTTCGAAATAATATAAATCGGTAGTTTCTTGCATTCACAATACCAAACCGCTAATTTTAATTCGTTTATTTTTAGTAACATTTTTCAAATTGCAAACTATCTGACCCGATCCGAAATTGCATGCCAAGTAACATAAATTATAACATTATCTTCAATAAAAAAAAATTAGGAATCTTTTAATGAGATAATAACCAAATCAACCATCAATGTTTTGGGAATATTTAATGTGATCCAAACCAAATCAAGATTGATACATTGTGATTGTCTGATTGGTGCATGTGGTGGGAAGCAAAACTGCAAAAGCAACTTCACTAAACACACGTCAAAAAAGAACTTGAAAAGATTCTAAACTAGTTCTTGAGATATTTTATTTTATAGCATTTTGAGTCTTCTAGACAATTGAAAATGGAATTTGAAAATTTTGATACAACACGACACACATACAATGATACAAAACACAGAAGAAGAAGAAAGAAGTAAAGCGTTAACGCATCGCAGCACTAGTACTCCTCGAGACATTGACACGTGGTCTTTTGTTAGCCTTTGGATTGCTATTGTTACACTCAAAGCTCACGCCATCTCCTCCACCAACCATATCTGTGAACATCCGTTGCAAGTCCTCTAAGCTCTCTCCCTACACCTCATCATCAAAACCGAACCAAACCGGTTCGTTAAATCTAAATCTCTAAATATCTAAACCGGTTTAACTTAATTTTTTGGTTCATCTTGGTTTACACATTGTACTTCCTTTACCAAATTAGTGAAACAGAGACTGTCTCTAATAAGATATAACCGGTCTTGAATCTATCAAAGAATCTAACCGGTCTTTGACATTTAACCAAACCCATATAATTCATTTTTGCATCTAAACCAATAATCAGAGTTGTTAAACCGGATGGTAATACACTAATTATCAACGAAAGTATCTCGAACCGGGTGGTAAATGCATCCGTTGCAAGTCCTCTCAGCTCTCTCCCTACTCATTGATCAAACCCGAACCAAACCGGTTCGTTAAAATTAAAATTTCTAAGCTAAATCCACAAATGTACATAACGAAAGTCTATTTCCTGGGTTTAACTTAATTTCCTGGTTCATCTTGGTTTACACATTAATCTTCAAAATTTCAAAACCTAAGGTTGGTATTGTTGACCAGCACTTTCTTCAACTATTCTCGAACACCAAAATTGAATTTACCAAAGAATCTAACCGGTTCTTGGACATCTAACCGAACCCAAATCATACATTTTGTGTCTAAACCAATAATCAGAGTTGTTAAACCGGGTGGTCATACACTAACGATCAACGAAACTATCCTAAACCGGGTGGTCATACTCATACACTACCGATCAACGAAACTATCCTAAACCGGGTGGTAATACACTAATGTGATCAACAAAACTATCATAAACCGGGAATTTAAAACCGGAAATTGAACCGGAACATACCTCATGTTTGACATTGTTCATCATTGAGATCATCTCTTGCATAAAATCGCAAAAGTCCTGAACCACAACAACAACAAAACGACGTCGTTTTCAAAATTTCTTAAACCAAAAATCAAAAAACAGAGCTAAAGAGATCTATACACATACATCGTCATCATCTTCACGAGGATCGTATAAGCCAGCATCGTACATTGATCTCTTACTCTCATCGTTCAAAACTAAAACTCACAAAAAAAAAAACTGTTACTTGAGACGGACGTTAACGACAAAAACTAACGTCCGTTAAACAAGATATTTTTTTGAAAGCAAAAACAATGAAATTACCAGAATAGGCTTCTTGAATTTGTTGAAACCGTCGTTTAGCTTCTCCGGCGACTCCAGGATTCCGAACGTATCTATCCGGATGCCATTTCTTCAATCCAATTTTTTTAAAAATGTCAATGAAAATTGCAAATTTTTTACAAAACCCAAAATTACAAATTCGTAGATTCGTATATACCATGGCTAGCTTACGGTAAGCAGTACGTATATCGGAAACAGAGGAGTCTTTACGAATCCCAAGTACGTTGTAGTAGCTTGATCTGTTGTTTGATCCTCCTCCTCCGCCTTCACATGCCATATTTGAAAATCAAGCTCCTCTTCCGTCTTCGTCACGGTTAAAGCATCGGAATTTGGGAATTTATCTGAGAGTTTTGAGTTTTTTTTTGTGGATGGAGAAGAGAAGAGAATGAAACTACAGAAACTAAAAAAATATCTTTGTAGGAGAGAGAGATGGGAGTTGAAGAGGAGGAAACTTCGAGAGAGGGTTTGATATTTTTTATAGTTTAAGATATTTTTGTGATTTATTTACATGTCACGTGCTTGTTTGGTTTTTAATTGTTAGTTGGGTGTGAATGTGTTTTTAAGGCCCATAGAAGGCCCAATATTATTAGATTGACTTTTTAGTTCTAGAGATAGGAGAATTTGGACGGTTATATTTTGTTGTAAAAGTCTAATAAATGTAAGTTATATTAACAGACAAAATTAAAAGGATAAATTCTCAAAAAAAAAAAAAACACAAACAGAGGTGGTTTCCCTAGAAAAACTTTGGGACATGCAAATAGTATCCCATACAAAGAACTCTTTTTTGTGTGCACTTCAAGTCTTGACTATGTATTTAGAAGACATAGTGTCACACCAATCCGATTCATACCTCATCACAACATATCCAACAATTGTTGTAAACCAAGTGAGAAAGAATAAAAGTACAATTTTCTGATTTTGATGTTATTTTTTAGATGTTTAAGTATGTTTTGGACTTATTTGGAGATTTGGAGTATTGGAAAAGTATGACTAAAAAATGAATTCGAAAAACATATTAGAAGTGGGTGTTGTTAGACATAATTCCTGATATTGATCAACACCAATTTCTGATGACAATTGAATTTCACATATTTTTGAAGTGACAAAGAATTGCATATTTTGCACAGAAGCTTCACTTATTTTCATAAAGTATATAGATTCTTATTGAAAAAGAAAATTTATAAGATATGTTCTCTCGTTCATTTTGTATTTTTATAATGTGTGTTTAGTAGTCTAGTACGTAAAAATGAATATTCAGATCTTCAAGTTCTATAAATCTTCATCACTACTATTTATATAGCAGCTCGATCGTGTGTTTGTGTGGATTTTTTTTTGTTTTTGTTTCCTCAATTTTTTCGCCGGAATCATTATTTAGATAATTTTTGTAAATACTCGTGAAAATACAACTTTGGTAGTGTTATATACTACTTATAAGGTAATAAGTTAGAAGTTAAACAAATGTTTTATATTCTTCATATATTTTAACCTCTTGACTTCTTCTCCATTCCACTATTAATTTATGGGTTTAACTTAGATACAACAATACATCGACTTTATGGTTTGTTTATTAGTATGTATTCAATTTTGATTTGTTTTTTATTTTTTCACAATATAGTTAAAATCAGATGGTAGATAGGAGTAGAACCTTGTGAACATCTAGAGGTATATATTCTTTTCTTAATACATGAACCTTGTTAACGTTTAATTTAGAGGTATAATATTATGTTTCTCCGTTTAAACTGTATATTTTGTTGTTTATTTATTAATTATGCTACGGTTTTTGTGTGTTTTAAATTTCAGGATTCACCTAAAAATTTTCTTTTTCAATTTTCCTGGGAAATATCCAAAAATGACAAAATAGCTTTTCTTGCACTCGTTGATCAAAGGAAAAATGTGTAAGTCTTCTACTATGTACTTTATGAAAAATTTAAGAATATAGTTTTCCTTTCAAATTCATTATTTAGGATAGATTGTAGATTATTTCCTTAATTTGTTCAAGTGAGGTTCATTTCAGTTTAGGTACTCGTTATATTTGATAACATATAGACTGCCATGTCAACACCAATTACTAGAATATAATATTTACTGTGTAGAAAAATTAACGGAGCTAATATTAAATATTTAAAATAAACATTTTTGAAGAAGATATTTTTTTAAACAGTTTTAATTTACCTGGTGAATGATTTTATGAAAATTTAATATACTTTTCCTACAAAGATTGCGTTTTGAAGTGAGACATGAGCTTCTTTGTTTTTTATTTGTCTATATCAAGAAAAATTCTTGAAATCCGGTATTTTAGGCTCCGATTGGTAACCCATTTAGGAATAAAAAGAACGAAAAGGAACAAAAATAAAAAAGAACAAACAGGAAAAGAATTCTCATAAAAAATAGGAATAAATGCTGAGGAAAAATAGAACAAATGTTCCAGTAAATGGTAACCAAAAAACTGAACAAGTAAACTTAAATAATATAAATAATTTATACAAAAAATTATTTAATAAATTTGAGTTTAAAAAGAAATTTAGTTTAGAACTTTCATTTAAATTATAATACTTAATATATTAAATTTAATTTAATTTTTTATAGATTAAAACATTA